GGCAGCGGGACCCTGCGGGGGCCTAGGATGTCCGCGATGCTGAAGGGCGTTCGGGGCGTCCGCGGCTCGGGCGCAGAGCTCATGGCCTGCTGGGCTGCGGGGGGCGTCCGGCTCCGTGCGCGCCGCTCCCGAGCAGGGTCCCCTGGCCTTAGGACCTGAGCCCCGTGGGCCCCTCCTCCAGAGCACCCCCACCCCCAGGCCACGGAGAGTCCCGGCCCGAGCGCCACCCTCGGTGCACACACGGAGCCCCCCAGGTGGTTTGCCGCGGCCTCCCCGCCTGGCCGCACTCGGGCTCATAAACTCCCGGCAATAAATTTGCTTTCCCCGCCCCAGCGGCTGGGGAGCTGCACGCGTTTGATCAGGGCTGACTTGGCGGGGCTCCCCGCGCCCACCTAGGAAGGACCCAGCCGGGTCTCCGCCCCAGCCCCGGCGCACTGAGTGTTCTTAAAGAGGTCCCGCGGCTGGAAGTGATTAGCGCTGGGGGCGGGAGGCAGCCAAGGACGCGCCGGTTCGAGCCTCGCCCCTGCTCCGACCCCGACCCCGACCCCGACCCCGCCCGAGGCCCGTCCAGCCGATCCAGCCACAGCTCTGTGAAGTGTCCGAGCCAGGGTCTGGAATGAGGACAGGGGATGCCTACTGTCCCCACTCCCAGACGGCTACTGAGGACCCTTCCAGCTATCCTACCTGCCGTCAGTGAGTGACTTCTGGCTGACTTGTTGTTGGGTTTTGGCCACACCCGGGGGTCCTCAGGCATACTCTGAACTCAGGACCCACGGCTGGGGGATGGGGGCAAGGCATAAGGCAGTGCCAGAGATCTGTGCTGGGTCAGTCACATGCTAGGCCAATGTCCTGCCACCTTCAGCCCTTGACTCCTTTTTAAACACCTGCAGCTCAAGGCTAGGTCCTCCACTCTGGAGAAACCTAGGAAACACCAGAAAACCATCAGTAGGGGGTTCACTGCCCAGGAGAGTTGGGGTGCAATGTATCCTGCCCCCCCTCACACACACAGGACAAACTTTGGGGACCCTGGCACAGAAACCTCTGCCAATCCCAAATTTGGAGGCCTGGGGTGGCTATTTCCTCTGTCCCGTGTTGCCTTGCTCCCCTCCACGCCTGTTCTAGTTCTGTTCTCATACCCGCGGGGAGCACCCTTTGTAGAAAGAAGGCAGCTTTGGGCAGAGCCTCAGCAAGGCAAAAGGCTTGTTCAAAAGTCACCCCCTCCCAGGGGTTGGAACAATAGGACAGCGGGTAGGGCATTTGCCTTGCACCCCGATTCCGAGCATCCCATATGGTCTGAGTGCAGAACCAGAAGTAATCTCTGTGCATCGCCAGGTGTGACCCAACAAGGAAAAAAAAAGTCACCCCGCAGAGAGCAGTACTGCAGGGGGGTGCTTGCCTTACAGGTGGATGAGGACCCAATTTCATTCGCTCCCCCCTCCCGCTGGGCCCCTAAGTCAAGCCAAGAATGATCCCTAAGTGCTGAGTCGGGAGCCCAGCTCTGAACACTGCTGGATGTGGCTTCAAAAGAAAACAAGCTAAAAATCACCCCTACCAGTGGAGAGAAAAGAGGCAAAGGGCTCCCTGGAGGACGCTGCCACTGCCCCCACCATCCACTGCCTGCACAGCAGACAGCAGACTGGGCACACTCAGCCCAGTGGCCTCTGGTGGGTCAGAGAGCAGAGGCTGGCCTACCAGGAAAGCTGAGAGCCTCAGGACTGGTTAATTGGATATTAATGGCGGGGGGGGGGGGGGGGGGGGGGGGGGGGGGGGGATGAGCAGGAAGTGCTCCCTCCCAGCTGGAGGCCTCAACCCTCTGAAAGGACCCCGCCATTTCACTGAATCTGTGACTAGGGTAGTTCTCTGGGGACCCAGGAACTGTCTAGTCTGCCTCAACCGCTTCCTCCAGCATCCCCTCTGCTTGCAATGACTGTCTGTGGGGGCTTCGCTTGCCTCCTCTTCCATGTCTCCTGTGCCCAGCGGGCTCAGGTAAAGGGGTTAGGTGTCCTCAGAAGCCTGCCTGAGGGAAGGAGGAGGGGAAGGAAAGGGAGAAGGCTGCCGGCCGGCTGACAGCAGGACTAAGGTCATCCCAGCGGCCCGCACGGGCCCGCACGGTGGGGCCACAGAAGGGAACTTTCCCAGCAAAGCCTCTGGAACCTGATCTGGGAAGAAACTGGATCCGAGGTGGGGGGTGGAGGAGGGCGAGTGATTAATGAGAGAGATTTAGAGATTAAACCAGAGTTCTGGGCTGGGGGCCGGAGGGGTGTCTCATAGGCTTCTCTTTCTTTGCACCTTCATCCACCCCCTGAGGTGGGTGCTGATGGGCCCCAGCACTGGGTACCCCAGCAGGGATTCCTCTCCCCGCATTTGCAGGCAATCCCTCTCCTCCTCTTCCCCCAATTCCTTCAACCCCCTCACACTTGCCTGGCCAAGGACCCCAGTTGCCACTTCCCGGGCTTTGCACACACTTGCCCTCATCTCCCCTTCAGCGCTCTCTCTCCCCCCACCCCCCACACTTCCTCCTTTCAGATCTGCCCTAGACAGGTCCCGCAGCCAATAACCCACCCTCAGTCTCTGCATGCTCCCCTCTGAATTCTGAGTGCAGGGCCGTGGGATGGGGGTGAGGGGCACCTCAGAACTCATCTGGATGGCGGGTGGAGGACAGGCTCCCTCTCTGGCAAGGAAACTCTTAGGAAAACCTACAAAAACCGAAAACCGGGGAGCAAAGGGAGGGAAGTGGGAATTTCCTCAGAAGTGCACGGAAGTGCAAGCAGGGGCAGCCGGGGCAGGCGGTAGGACCCTCCTGGGGCAGCACTGAGGAGTGGCCAATTCACACCCCACAGCAGCATCTGTGTGCAAGGGGCCTGGGGAGTGTCAGCCCTTTCCCCAGCTTCTCTCTGGCACAGCTGCGCTGCTTGGCTTCTGGGGCAGCCCAGAGGAACTCCTCAGGGCCACTCTGCCGGTCCCCAAGGCTGTGTGTAGTCACCGTGAGCAGATGGGGGTGGGGTGGAAATGCAGCTGGAAACGCAGACACCTTCTCACCCACACACACACCCCAGACTATTCCAGGCAGACCCTTCTCCCTCCTCTGGTCTCCTCCATGCCAAAGGCTGCTCCTCAGCCGCTCTCCCTCCAGCTGAGTGCAAGCAGCCAAGTGATGGCCAGAGACTGCAGAGGTGGAATGTGAGTTAGGCTGCCTTCAGTCTGCCTAGTCCCTCTGACACACACAGACATACAAACACAGAAGCGCGCAGATGTGCGCGCAAACACACAGATAAATCCTGCACCTCGGAAGCAGGAAGCATGGCCTGGTTCTGGCTGAGGGAGTTTCCTGGAGGTGACCACCATGGGACATTCAGGGGCACCTGAGTTGGGGGCGTGGAGAGGATCCCCAGGTGTAGGATCCTTGGAGACTGTGTGCCCACTGCAGCTCGAGGCGCTTCCTTGCAGCCTGCAGAGCCACTGGGCCTTTCTCTTAGCCCACAAGTTCAACGTGTATGGAGGAAAGCTGGGCTGATTGCTACACACACCAGGAGCACCTAGGCTAGCTCAGGTTTTCTGTATCTATTAATAAACAAGCTTTGTTGGGGGAAGCCAGTCCTAGAGGTGCTTCACTTACTCTGGCTCCGCGGTCAGCACTGTTCCTGGCAATGCTGGGGGACTGTGGCCTGGGACAGGAGTCCCCCACTGAGCCGTCGGCTTAAGTGCACCCACCGCAAGCTGCCTGCACAGACATGCCTCCTGGGACCATCCTCGGCTGCCACAAGCTCGCTGGGCAGGTTTCTGTCTTCCTCCTCTGAAGGCCTTCTTTTTCATCTTTCTGTTTTTGGGCCACCCAAGCAGTGCTCAGGAATTGCTCTGGAGACCATATGTGGTGCTGGGGATCAAACTGGGTTGGCCATGTGCGAGGCCACCACCTTACCCACTGTCCTATCTCTCTGGTCCCAGAGCCCTTAGATAGGCTGGTGTATTTCCAGAGTCTGGGGTTCATGGCTGAGCTCAGAAAGACGAGGCATGCTCACTAAATTAATCAGTGGTGTTGAGTCTGGCCTGTTCCACAGCGCTGACTTCGTTCTCCTGGTCACCAGCTCCCCCTCCCCACCCTGCCCCCGTCAGTCACCTCTGTGAACCCCAGCTTCATCAGACCCAGATTCCTGAAGATCCACTGAACTGCATATGGCCAGCCAGGCCGACGACTCCATCCCTGCCGCTCCCCTCACCTTCCCTCAGTTCTGACCCTCCTCCCACAATGCAGTTCTCTGGGTCTGTCCATAAAATATCACTCTTCTAGGGCTGGAGCAATAGCACAGCAAGTACAGTGCTTGCTTCGCATATGACTGGCTGAGGTTTGATCCCTGGCACCTAGTCTAACAGGCGTGATTCCTGAGCACAGAGCAAGGAGTAAGCCGTGGGCACGACTGGGTCTAAACGCCAAACCAAACAAAAAATCATTCTTCAGCCTGGCACTGGCCACTGGCCAGCCTTTGCCCTGTCTGTTCCCCTCCGCTCAAGTCTGCAGGACTCAGTGATGGCTGAGAACGCAGTCCCTGGGGTCTGGACATACCAGTGTGTGGGGCCAGGGGGTTGCTCCTGATCACTGCTCTGCAGAGTGGTTCCTGGCAAGGACTAGAGCAGTGTGTCCTTCATGCAACCTCCCTGGCCTTTTAGCTCACCCTCTGAATCTTAAACTGTAGGGTCCTCTGCTTCTTCTCTTACAAATCTGAGGGATCACAGAGAGACCCTTTTCATGAAGAATCTCAGCGGGCTTCTCGGGGGAAACAGGATACGGGGCAAGGCAGGAGGGTGTGGCCAGGCAAAAGGGAAGACAGTAGCCAGAGAGACAGCTCAGGGGGCTGAGGGCATCCTTTGTGGACAGCCTGGGTTTGATCCCCGACACTGCATGGTCTCCTGACCATGGCTAAGAACTACCCCCAGCACAGAGTCACGAGGAGCCCTCAGGCACCACTGGGTGCGGCCCAAAAACTTAAAAAGAAGAAAAGAGATGCTTTTTAAAAGCTTTTTTTATTTCAAAAATAAAGCCACAATTGATCTGCCATAAATATCTGGGGTGGGGGAGGGACGGGGGAGGGGAGGGGCTTGGCCCCTACCTCCTCTTCTCTTTCACACTGTATTGTAACAGCAAAGGAGATGGCTGAGGAGAGAAGGCAAGAGGCAGTCAGTAGGCGCATCCCCCCCTCCCCACCAGCAGGCCCCTGAGCCCCGGGGCCCTGGCTCACCTTGCCGAACCAGCGGGAGAGCCAGAGCTGCTTCATGGTCATGTGATCGGGGAGGACTTCGTTGTCAAAAAGGAGCTGCACCTAGAAAGGAGGTGGACGTTTCTGGAATTCTCTTTTTTACCCCTGGTTTCTGGGCCACACCCAGCTATGCTCAGGGTCTAACTCCTCGCTCGGTGCTCACAGATCACTCCTGGAGGGGCTTGGGGGACCATGCGGGATGTTGAGGGATGGGCCCCGTGCAAGGCAAATGCCTGACCCACGCTACTATCGCTCTGACACCCCCACCCCAGAAACCCTCTTCCTGCCGACTTAAAACGACCCTCTGCTGGGGCTGGGGAGATAGTACAGCAGGGATGGTGTTTGCTTTGCACGTGGCCAACTGGGGCTCCTCCCCGGCATCCCATGTGGTCCCCCAAACACTGCCAGGAGATAACTGAGTGCAGAGCCAGGAGTACCCCAGAGCATTGCCCAAAAAGCCAAACAAAACCGCCTGTTCTCCGCCCTCCTCCCTCTGGAAAGAAAGATGGCGGCCACATGGGAGCCATGTGGACAGCAGGTATGAGCCGGGGGTGTGGGGGCGACTAAAACCTCATGGGAAGGGGGGCGTTCCAGTCCGTCCTTCACGCCCTACCGAGGTCACCAGTCACCCCTCACGAGCGGCTCTCCAGCACGGCCACGGCCCCAGAAGCACAAGGACTTAATGCAGAACCCAGCAGCTTGGAGCAGAAAAGTGAACGGACTATGCGTTGATCCAGCCCATCAAGTCTGCCGGAGGGGAAAGGGTGTTGCCCCATTCGCCCTCTCCTCTCTGGAAAGAAAGATGGCGGCCACATGGGAGCCTTGTGGACAGCAGGTATGAGCCGGGAGTGTGGGGGCGACTAAAACCTCATGGGAAGGGGGGCGTTCCGGTCCGTCCTTCACGCCCTACCGAGGTCACCAGTTGCCCCCCACGAGCGGCTCTCCAGCACGGCCACAGCCCCAGAAGCACAAGGGCTTAATGCAGAACCCAGCAGCTTGGAGCAGAAAAGTGAAAGGACTATGCGTTAATCCAGGCAATCATTTCTGCCCAGAGGGGAAAGGGTGTTGCTCCCTTCCGCCCTCCTCCCTATGGAAAGAAAGATGGCGGCCACATGGGGGCCTTGTGGACAGCAGGTATGAGCTGGGGGTGTGGGGGCGACTAAAACCTCATGGGAAGGGGGGCGTTCCAGTCCGTCCTTCACGCCCTACCGAGGTCACCAGTCGCCCCAAACGAGCGGCTCTCCAGCACAGCCACGGCCCCAGAAGCACAAGGACTTAATGCAGAACCCAGCAGCTTGGAGCAGAAAAGTGAACGGACTATGCATTGATCCAGACCATCAAGTCTGCCGTAGGGGAAAGGGTGTTGCCCCATTCGCCCTCTCCTCTCTGGAAAGAAAGATGGCGGCCACATGGGAGCCTTGTGGACAGCAGGTATGAGCCGGGAGTGTGGGGGCGACTAAAACCTCATGGGAAGGGGGGCGTTTCGCTCCGCCCTTCACGCCCTACCGAGGCCACCGGTTGCCCCCCGCGAGCGGCTCTCCAGCACGGCCAGGACTCCAGAACACAGAAACCAATTTCTTAACTATCTGACTTTCAGTAGAAATACTTCCAGGGTCAATAGGTAAAAGAGCAGAAATCCAAAACCAACATTTAATTCTTGAACCCAGCCGTAGAAAGCAAATCACTTCACAATGCTTTTTCAGCATGTCTGATTTGGGGGGGGGGGGGGGGTAAACTCTAAATAATAGTGGTGAATCTTTTATTGAAACAATGAATCTAATCAAAGCAGATAGAGTGTTAACTAGAATTCATCTGCCTCACAGGGACAGGGAGGGGTGGGGGGTGGGGTTTTATTGGGGTTCTTCATGGTAAAAAATAAGTATTGGTAAAGGGAAATGTGTTTGATATTTGCATGACTGAGACATAAACCTGAAAGCTTTGTAACCTTTCCCACAGTGATTCAATAAATAAATTAAAAAAAAAAAAAAACCGCCTGTTCTACCCTAGACCTGTCTTACCTCCTGAGCCCAGCTCCCTTCGCTGTCCCCCAATTCCAAAACAGCCGTCGGAATACTCACATGCTGGGGGCTAATCATCAAGCGATGACAGAGGACCCGGCGGAGGTGGCGGACCTCAGCTCTAACGGAACATCGAACATATTTGTTCTGGGAGTAGGAAAAGGGACAAGAGGACACGGTTTGTGAGGAAGGGCCGTGCGGAGGGGCGTGTGCTGAGACAGGCACCCCTCGTGCTCCCCTCACCTGTAGGACGCTTTTATTCTTGTCTTTGCCAGAACTGTGGGAGAGAGGGAACAGACACAGGTTAGAGAGCCCCTCGCCCCTTCCTCCTTCTCTTCCCCCTTTTTTCCCCACTCGGCAGGTGGGGATAGGGGACACACACACATTTTCTCCAAGGGATCTGCCACTCCCTAACTGCTCACTCTCTGCCCAAACCCCTCCCTGGCCCTGCCACTTCACCGGCCCCTCACCTGAGCCGCTCCAGGCATAAGCTCAGCTGCTCATCATAGCGGTAGTAGTGGGCTTTCGAGTGGTCAAAGCTGCTGAACGGGAGGCCAAGGCTGCTCAGGGATGGTTCTAACAAAGACACACCAGTGAGGAGGGTGACATGTGCTCCAAACGCCTTTCCCGGCGAGACTCGGCAGGAGGAATGCTCGGGGGGCATGCCCTCAGCAGCCTTGCTGTCCGGACACATACCTTCCCCACTGGGCTGGGTGACCCGGTCCAAGCCTCGGGACTGATAGAATTCTCGAATCCGCTTCTCCTCACCTGGAGAGCGGTGAAGCGTGAGTGCTGATTCAAGTACTAGCTCTCCCTCCCCTTTCTGCTGGGTGTCAACCCCCAGGACTCCCACCAAAGTGTTTCTCCTCTAGAGCTGAGACCCCCCCCCACCCCGTCCTGAAAAGGGCTCTCGGCCACAGGTCGGTCACTCACTGTCCTGCAAGCCAGGCACTAGCTTGTACACGATGTCCTGCATGACCCGGTCCAGTTTGAGGTTGAGTAGTGGCTGTGTCTCGTGGATCTTGATGTTGCACATGGGGCAGTACTTGCTGGTTTGGAGGTACTTCACAATACAACTCTTGCAGACTGCAGGAAGAGCGCGGAGGCTGGAGGAACCCCTGGGAATCGGGTTCTGGGGCGGGGCGGGGACGGCGTGGGGGGCGCCGAAACAGGCAGCCTGGAGGCGGTGGCGGGGACGGGGCTGCGCGGGCATGGACCAGCGAGCCACGGACACTCACACGTATGAAGACACTCGGTTATGGTGGTGGCGTCCACGAAGTAGCCTGCACACAGGCAGCAGACGATGTGCTCGTTCAGGTCTTTGATCTTCACTCGGACCTCCTCCTGCGGGCACACCCTCCGTCACTCATCGCCCACCCGCCCGCGACCCCACCCCGGCTCCATCCCACCTCACTCGTCGCTCCTCCTAGGGGCAGCCCGCGGCCGAAGCCCGCACCCCGGCGTCCTCGGCTCCCGGGGGCTGACGGTCCGCCTCCGCCCAGCAGAGGGCTCCGCGCACAGCGGGGGCTCCCTTCACGTGCGCCGGCCAGACCTTCCTCTCCCAGGGGGGGACACGGCGACGTGGGCGACGCACGGCGCAGGCGCCCTAGCGGCAGGGCCGGCGAGAGGAGCGCGACCGCGCAGGCGCGCTGGGCGCCCGGCCCCTGCGCAGGCGCACTGGGCGCCGGCCCGGCCACCGCCCGTCCTCTCTCCGGCCCCGGTTCGAGCCGCTAGCCGACCACAGCAGTAACCCTGCCGCCCCTGCACCTCGTTCCGTAGTGGGTCCATCTTGTACACTGACTGGAGCTGGTTCCGAAGCCTCATCGCGATCGCAATCTGGCCCCCCTGAGGAGACGCCATCTTAAAGGCTGAGCCCGGCCCGCCACTTCCGGTGCCGCCTGCGGGGCGGGACTTGTCGCCGGGCAACGAGGGCCCAAGTCTTTGCGGATTCGCTGGCCCCCTCAGGCCCCGCCCACGCCCCTTGCTCCCCGTGTGCTCACCTGAGCCCCACAGGCCCCTCCCCCTCTCCGAGCGTAATTGGGGAGCGGGGGCCTCGCAGGGAGGGACCCCGGCTCCTGGACCTCCGGGAGCGGGCCGCCTGGTGGGCCTCGTCCGGCCTCGGCGCTAACTGTCGGAGGCCCCTTCCGTCCTCCGAGCTCGGGCTCGTCGAGCCCCGGTGGCGACAGCCGGGCCGCAGAAGCGCCTCCCGAGGCCGCCGCGCCGGCCGCCGGCTCACGTTCCCCGAGCCCGGCGCGGGGCCCTCTCCGGGCTCGGCGGAGGGAGGGACCCCGGGCCGTGAGCTTTCCGCCTCCCCCTCCCCTCCCCCTGCCGCCGGGAATGGGGGGCGGAGGGGGGGACAGACCCTGGTTAATGATGATGATTCAATCACCGGCGCCTGCGGAGGCCTGGGACAGACTAATGCAGAGCAGATGCCGAAGGAGGAGGGGAGGACGCCGAGGACCGCGGCGCGCCGGCCCCGCGCTCGGCGCGGACCCGGGGAACCGAGCGCGTGCGTGTGCATCGGTGCATCCTCGGGGCAGAGAAGCGATTCAGCCCGTGTACAGTCGGGGGAGATTCGGAAAGGGAGGGGTCACCGTGGAGGTCTCAGGAAGGCTCTCCGGAGGAAGTGGGGACTCACTTTGCGCGAGCTAGGGGTGGGGCGGAGGATAGCACAATTTCGGGATGGGGCGGGTGTCACGCGTGGGCAAATTAAGGCCGAGTGGACGAGAATAACGAAGAGTGCCCGAGGACAATAGGAAGCTAGCTGATTTTTTTTTTGAGGGAGTTGCCCTATCAAGGAAGTATTTTTGTTCAATTATCTCCAGAGTGAGTTGGAGTGGATGGATAAGCGGCAGGTTCACGGGATGACTGGTTTTGTAATCAGCTACCCCGCACCCCCAGGCCCAAGGTAGCATCTCTCACAAGGATTGCAGTGACGTCTCGCGGGCTTCCCTTGCTTTCACCTTTGCTGCCTCTTAGCCTGTTCTCAATCTAGGGGCTCCGTGATTCTGGTGAAACAAAAATAAAAAGGATACAAGGAAAGTTTTCTGAGGTGTCAAAATGTGTCAAATTGCATACTTTCCTTGTTTCACAAGGGCCTGAACTGAGCCCGACTGGCTAGGTTGTACAGACAGTTCCATGAGTACCGCTGGATCTGACAGTGCTTGGGGGACCCTGGGGGTAGAACTTTGGGACCTCTGCATGCATGGCATGTGCTCTAGTCCTTTGCCGTATCCACATCCATTAAATTGTACAAAATAAACAGTTTAGTAGGGCTCTTTTTGTGTGTTTTATTTTTAGTTCTCTTCCCAACTGGCTCTGAAGGACATCAGGGCTACATCCAACAGTGCTCACCTAGCAGTGCTCAGGTGACCATGTGGTGCTGGGGATCAAACCTAGGGCTATAGTAAATCATGGTGCCACGATTAAAAAAAAAAGCAGTGGGTAGGGCATTTGCCTTGCATGTGGCCGACCTGGGTTCGATTCCCAGCATCTCATATTGTCCCCTGAGCACTGCCAGGGGTAATTCCTGAGTGCAGAGCTAGGAGTAACCCCTGAGCATCGCCGGGTGTGACCCAAAAAGCAAAAACAAGGGGGGGGGGGACTAGAGAGAATACTGTGGATTTGGCACTTACCTTGCATACAGCTGGCCTGGATATGATCTCCAGCGCTGCTTATTATTGTCCTCCAACAACTGGCAGGGGTGATCCCTGAGAACAGAACCAGAAGTAAGCCCTGAACATAGTGAGGAAAGACCCCCAAACAACAACAACAAAAAGAATATTTAAATTAAAAAAATAAGGGTCTGAAGCAATAGTACAGTGTATAAGGTACTAGTCTTGCACATGGCCAACCCAGGTTTAATCCCCAATGTCTCACATGGTTCCCCAAGCACCACCAGGAGTAGTTCCTAAGTGCAGAGTGAGGAGTAACCCTTGAGCTTGGCTGGGTATGGCCCCAAAACCAAAAAGTAAAAATAAAATTAGTTTATTTGCATACTAAGAAATCTGTTGGGAAAAAAAAAGATAAATTAAGGCTGGGACAGGGGAAATTTCTTGAGTGACTGAGTGTGTCTCTAGTATACTCAAGGCCTTGCATTAGGTCACCAGCACTGCATTCCCCCCAGCAGGGGTTGGCCCCTATAAAAAAGATCAAGTGTCTTACTTTTCTGTTTAAAACCTTTCAATAGCTTCCCTTTTCAGTCAGAATAAAAGCCCAAGGCCTTCAAGGATTGGCCTGGTCTCAGTCACTCGTTTTTATTAGCCCTAGCGGGCCTGTCACTCTTTGTTCCACAGATACACCAGGATATACTCTCACTGTGTCCCAACTTAAAATACTCAGATATCAAAATGCCTCCTTTCTTCCTTCGAGTCTATACTCTTCATGAGGCCTTTGGTGTCCAGACCAGATGGATCATAGTCCCACCCCCACCCCCATCAACTTTTTCATTCTCTCCCTCAATTTTTTTTTCTTTTTGGGTCACACCCGGCAATGCACAGGGGTTACTCCTGGCTCTGCACTCAGGAATTACTCCTGGCGGTGTTCAGGGAACCATATGGGATGCTGGGAATCGAACCCAGGTCGACCGCGTGCAAGGTAAATGCCCTACCCACTGTGCTATTGGTCTTGCCCCTCCCTCATTTTCTTTTTCTTCTTCACTTAACATGTATATTTTTCTTGTCTTTCACCTGCCTTACTAGAAGGACAGCTTCTCAGTGTTAAGGATTTCTCCTTAGTTGTGCTTACATCTCTATCTTCATCACCAAGTGCCTAATTGTTATTCTATCACAATTTTGGGGAGAGCAGAGATATAGCTCCATTGGTCACTGGATGAGCAGATGAATGAATGTGAGTGCTAATCATAGCCTAAATTAGAATTTTATTAGTAAAAATGGAAAGAAAGGGTGACATATAAAATATTCCCAAGCTAGACAGGAGGAAATGAATGGGGAGTGGGGGGACGAAGTCCTTCAGCCTGTTCAATTTAAGGTAGTTGCTGTAAAGTTTGCAGTTGCAGTGGTAAGGGAGTTTCAGTAAACTGGGTAGAAGGCTAGAACAGTGGGGCTGGAGCACAGGTGTCAGAAACAGCAGTGGAGGCTGCAGAGTCTTCTGAGTGGACACAATAGATAGGACTTAGGAAGGATGAGAACTGAGTCCTTGTAGAGAGATGAAGACAAAGTCTGAGCTCTGAAGAATGCTTCCTGTCTTCAGTGGAAGAAGCAAAGTCCATGGAGGATGAAAAGCAATGACTCTAAAAGTCTAAAGATAATAAGACAATGTTGCAGGATGTAAAGGAAAAAGCCAAGGGGCTAGAGAGATAGGACAGTAGGTAGTGCACTTGCCTTGCAGGAGGCGAGCCTGCCGGAGTGATTCCTGAGTGCAGAGCATGAGGAAAGTCCTGAGAACCACTGGGTGTCTCCTCCCCTCCCCCAACACACAAAAGAAACAGCTATGATCAAGAAAATAGAAAAGGTCAGAGACTTACGGACAATAATATCAGAGAAAGGTCTATGAGGTAAAGCCAGCTTACAGTGAGATAGAAGGAATATAGACATGATGGGGGACAGTGACTAAGGACAAGTAGACTGGAAAAGAAAAATCATTTCTCTCAAAAATATAAAGATTCCTGGGCTTGAGCAATAGTACAGCGGGTAGGGTGTTTGCCTTGCCCCGGCCGACCCGGGTTCGATTCCCAGCATCCCATATGGTCCCCTGAACAGGAGTGATTCCTGAGTGTATGAGCCAGGAGTAACCCTTGTGCATTGCCGGGTGTGACCCCAAAAAGAAAAGAATATAAAGATTCCAGACTTGGGGGAGGAAGGACCAAGACCAAGACCAGGGCAGGGAGTAGAGGATGGAGCAGGGACACAGGCTGGGACACAGCTTTTCCCTGTGCAGCTATGGTCTTAGGGCCTGAAAACATAAAGAATTGCAGGTGAACACTTGCCTAGCACAAGGCAGACCCAGGTTCAGTCCCTAACACCTGATTTGGTCCCCTAAGTTCTTTTACTATGAGTGATCCCTGAGCAAGGAATAAGGAGTAGGCCCTAAATACTTCTAGGTGTGCTCCCCTACCCCCCCCCCCCAAAAAAAGAGTAGGGGGAATCATATGAATGTAAGTTTACAGTGAGACAAATTTCAAAGCAATGCATGAGGAAAGTGGAAATTCTGACTCCAGGACCCCCATCTTAAACCAAAAATTAGTGAACTGTCTTTTTCTGGGTCTCAGAAGGCCAGAGAGAGGAGGTGATGCAGAGACATTCCGAGGCTGACAGACATTGATGCTATTTTTTTCTCAATTGTTGGGATTGAACTCAGTGTTTCACACATGCAAGGCAAATGCTCTGAGCTATATGCCTGGGTCCAGGATTCCCTTATTTTTATTTGTTGTTTGCTCGGGGGCTACTCTGAGCTAGGGGCTGCTCCCATGGGTGCTCAAGAGCGCATGCAGCACACTATTCGGGTCCTGGACCATTAACTATGGCCTCCGTCTGGGGCCAGCGAGGGGCACTGAGATCTTTACCCCTCTTTCCAGAAAATGTTCATGTACCACACTGTGGGTGACCATTTTCCAAGGTCAGTCTCTAGGTGGCAATGTAATTTGCTGCCTTGATGGGCACTAGACAGGTCTGCACAATATTTGCCCTCACTGATTCTCTCAAGATCCACTGAGCTCTGTGGCCACAGAATAAATGGGAGCCTTATCCTTATCCTCAGAGGTCCACCTGCTAGCTCTGGGAAAAGGGTGAAAAACTGCCACCCTGCAGACCAACCCCCTCCAGAGAGGTGCTTTAATTTTCCTTCTCTCTCTGCTCTCTGTTCTCTGTTGGAGGGGTCCCACCCTAGCCATCTCTGGAAGAGCAGAGGTCCCAGGCTTTTCAGTCACCCCACCATCTGAGAGAGCGTGCCAGGGCACCAATGAGGCACAGAGCACAAGTCTGTCTCCACCGAGATAGAAGCACAGCCGCCAAACAGGCAGGGCCATTGGCAGGGCTGAAGAATCAGATAATTGGGGGTGGTCGAGACAAGGGGGTGGGTAGGCATTTTTAGCCACCACCCCTGCCCAGAGTTCACCCCTTTCAAACTGAGGCTGGTGAGAAACCCGGGAGTGGGGGTGCTGATAACTTTGCGTTGGGGGGGAAAGCCCACTCCCTTCTTTCTCTTATTATTTATCTTCCTGCCCAGATGCCCAAATATCATTCTTAGTTCCCTGGAGAGAAAAAAGGCCTCACCCTGCCCCAGGCGCCAGGCTGCCAGCCCATCTGCCGGGGAGAAAGGAGGGGCAGAGCCTTTCCCAGGGGATCCTGGACAATCGACTGGAAGATCGCGCTCCCAGAGGACCTGGCTGCCAGGATCGGGAGCATTTCGGCTCACGCGGGGACCGGCGGCGGAGAGCTGAGCGCCGGAGCCGGGTGGGATCACGGGGCAAAGGCTGGCACGACAGGGCGGGTCCTTCGGCCACCACGTGTCCCAGGCCGACCAAGCTGGTGGTCGGTGCCCACCCGCCGCGGGATGGCAGGAACGTCCCCCTCCCCGCGCCCAGTCTCACCGGCTCGGAGGCGCCAGGCCCCCCCCAGGGCCGGGGCGGGCCGGGGAAGGTAATGTAATTCCGACCCAGCTAACCCGATTATGGCGGCCTGCACCGGGCCGGGCGGCGGCGGGGGCGGGTCCAAGGCGCGGGGGCCCGGTCGGCTGGGGTCCCATCCCGGAGAAGGATGCAGAGTTTACACACTCGCAGCCTCGGCTCCCGTGGGCAGAGGTCACAAGGTCACGGGCAGCTTGGGTCTTCCCGCACCTTCCTGTGTGACCCGCTGCCTGCGCGCAGTTTGGGGCTCTCTGGTGCAGTGTGGCACCCAGGGCACGGAGACTGCGGGGTAACTGCGGGGACCTCAGTGAGGTCGCACATGTCGTCGGTGTAGATTTCCTCCTTTCTCCAGGGAGGGGTGTGTGTGTGTGTGTGTGTGTGTGTGTGTGTGTGTGCGGTAGATTTTCTAGGTGCGGGGTGCGGATTATTTCCTAGATGCGGGGTGGGGGGCACTGTCCTCTGTTGAGGGGTCACAAGGCCAGTCCCACATCCCCACAGGCCTAACGCAGCGCGAGTGGATCCAGGATTCGGCGCGTTTCCCAAATCCCAAACCGGCAATAAAGTCTAAGCAGCCTTGCGCGCCCACTCCCGGCGCTTTCGGAAGGACGGGCTGCTCCAGGATAGGCGGGAAGGAGCGCCGGACCCCAGGCCCAGAGGGCTTCATCCCCGTCCCAGCCCTCTGTCCGCGTCCTGTCACCCCCCTCCCCACACCTGTCCTCTTCCCAGACCTCCAACTGGCGCTGTCCCCCGACCTCTTCCCACGGCAGCCGAGAAAGTCACAACGAGATTTGGACTTCGGGGGCACTTGGGCGGGGGTCACAACGAATCCGAGAGTCTGCAGGCCGGCCCCATCGGCAGGCGCAGAGTGGGGGCCGCGGGAAGGAGCACCTGCCGGCCAGCCCGGGAGAACCAAGACGCGCACAGGCGGTGGCCGGCGAGGATGGAGATGCGGTGAGCATCGCAGCTGACTCAGCGCGCCGCAGCCGGGGCTCGGTCCATCCCGCGCTCGGCCTGGCTCCTAACACCGCCGCCACCTCGCCCCACCCGCACCCGCACCCGCACCCACACCCGCGCGGCGGGCCAGGTTCTCCCGGCTTAGCGCAAACAGGCGTCTCTTCCCCTTTAACGGCCCCGGCCCCGCCCCTGCCCTCCCCCAGCCCCCACTGCCCACCCGAGGCGGATCTGTCAGTCACTGCCCCAGCCCGAGTCGGCCAACCCTCTCCACCCTGGAGTCGGGCAGAGGCCCCAGCCACCCGGTGTCCGTCTACGCTCCGAGCCGGCCGGCGCGCTTCTGGGGCCCCAGCCCGTCGCGTTACCCCGGGATGCAAGTCCCGGCGCCGACGCCCGGCAGCGGCCGGCACGGGCGCGGCTACTCCCGGTGCACAGGGATGAAGCTGTCGTGGGGGCCCCGGCACCCCGCCGTGGCCAGCCCCGCAGGCCCCTGAGGCCCGCTGCTCCGAGAGCACCGTCGCTCGGCTCCCGGAGCAGCCCGCTGCGCCCTCCCCAGCCGCGCGCCCCGGGGGTCCTCCCGGAGCAGGACCCATGGAGCCGGCGGTGCTGGCCTCGCACCACCTGCCGCACCACGAACCCATCAGCTTCGGCATCGACCAGATCCTGAGCTGCCCGGAGCCCCCCGGGAGCGGCCTGGGCCCGGGCCGCGCGGGTCAAGGCCCTGGGGAGACCGCAGCGTTCTCGGGGGCTTTTCACGGAACCTCCGGCTATGGCCCCGCGGGCTCTCTGGCCCCGCTGCCCGGGAGCTCCGGCGTGGGCCCGGGCGGCGTGATCCGCGTTCCCGCGCATCGCCCTCTGCCCGTTCCGCCGCCCGCGGGAGGCGCGCCCGCCGTGCCCGGACCCTCGGGCTTGGGCGGCGCCGGGGGCCTCGCGGGCCTCACCTTTCCTTGGATGGACAGCGGCCGCCGTTTGGCCAAGGACCGGCTCACCGGTAAGGCAGCACGATTCCACCCGCGCCGTGCGCCACGCTGCCCCCAGCACCCCATCTCCTAGTCTTCCATCTAACTCTCGGTCCCCTTTCCTAGTCCTCCCCACCCCCATCATCCCGGAAACCGCGCCCCCAGTTTGTATCTCGCGGTCCCTTCGCTCAGAGGTGAAGCGGGACGGAGCAGCCGTCGATGCCCGCGCCCTCCCCTGCCATCCACGGTCCATAACGAGGGAGGGCAGGTGAAGTGGAGGCGGACGGCGGTCCCCCAGCCCAGAGGAGGGCCGTGACTCCCGAGGCTTGTTCCGGGCTCCCCGGCGCCTGGGCGAGCGTGGGGCCCCTGTTAGGCTGGGGACGCTCCGATCGCCGCGCCGCCAACCCTGCCCTGTCCTTCCTCCTTCCCTGTAGCCGCGCTCTCGCCCTTCTCCGGCACGCGCCGCATCGGTCACCCCTACCAGAACCGGACCCCCCCGAAGCGCAAGAAGCCGCGCACGTCCTTCTCGCGCTCGCAGGTGCTGGAGCTGGAGCGGCGCTTCCTGCGCCAGAAGTACCTGGCGTCGGCCGAGAGGGCGGCGCTGGCCAAGGCCCTGCGCATGACGGACGCGCAAGTCAAGACCTGGTTCCAGAACCGGCGCACCAAGTGGCGGTGAGGCGTGGGGCGAGAGGCACGGGGCGGGGACCGCAGGGCCCTGGGCTGGGTGTTGCGGGGCTGGGGGCGAGGCCACGGGGCAGGGGCCGCGGGGCGCGGGGCTGGAGGGCGCGGATAGGGGGCGCGGGGCAGGGGACGCGGGGCTGGAGGGTGTGGGGCACGGGGCAGGGGACGTGGGGCGCGGGACAGGGGTTTAGATGCTGGGGTGCGGGGCAGGGGGCGCTGACCGCCCTGTTCGCTCGTCCAGGCGCCAGACGGCCGAAGAGCGCGAGGCGGAGCGGCATCGCGCCGGCCGGCTGCTCCTGCACCTGCAGCAGGACGCGCTCCCGCGACCCCTGCGGCCACCGCTGCCCCCGGACCCGCTCTGCCTGCACAACTCGTCGCTCTTCGCGCTGCAGAATCTGCAGCCCTGGGCTGAGGACAACAAGGTGGCGTCGGTGTCCGGGCTCGCGTCGGTGGTGTGACCTCAGCGGGTTGCGCGCTTTGTCTTTCCGAGGGGTGTGCGTGAAGCAGCCAGGGCCCCTGGAGCAGCTGCCGGCTCCCGGCCCGCACTGTGCGGTCTTTCCCGCCCTCTCTCAGCTGAAGGACTCCTGCACCGCACCTGGAACCTGAGCCGTCGAGGGGACGGGACCTGCAGCTGGGAAGCCAGTGAGGTGCGGGGAGCGGGACGTGCCGCTGGCCTACGGGCACTGCTCTCCTGAGGGACTGGGAGTTTCCCGGAGGTGACTGGCAGCGCTGTTGGCCCACCTGAAGGAGGTAAAGGAGGTGCTGGGGCGGAGGAGGGTACTAAAGGTGTGAAGGAAGGAAGATGCCAACGAAGGCAAGAGAATCTGAGGGTTCTGCCCGGATATCTCTTCCACTGTAAAATAAGTGCTACGGAGTCCTTGACTTTGAGTTTCATGTTGCTCAACATGCTGAGAACGTCGTTCCACTAGAGGCTCACCACGCGCCCGGGTGGTAGGACAAATGGGGATGCCCACTGCAGAGAAAAGCTGGGAATATTTTAATCTGACTGTGGTTGTCCCATGGGGATGGGGGAGAGAAGATGAGGGTGGACGCAGTGAACACGGTGAATGGATGTGATGAAATTTAGGGTGCACAGAATTTGGCAGACCATTAGGAACTGACAAGACTTGGAAAGAATCAATGATAATTTCAATGCAAGAAATGTGGAGGGTCAGGAAATCAGAGGTGTTGTCGATAATCAAGAGGAAAATTGGAAGGTCAGAGCAAGATGAACACTGCTGGCAAAATTAAATGTGTAGAGAGAATAAATTCTGAGAAAGTGCCTTTGGAATGGGGTGGGGGTGGGGGGGTGGTCGGTTCAGCTGACATCCACACAGAGGTGGAGATGGAATGAGTAGCCAGAATTTCCAAAGGAGGAAATAAGAGAAATGCAGAATTTAAGGAGTAAATCTTTCCAACAATTTGTACAAATACAATTCCTTTTCTTTCTTTTTTTTTGGCCACACCCAGCTGTGCTCAGGGATTATGGTTTACTCCTGGCTCTGTGCTCAGGGATCACTTCCGGTGGGCTCTGGGGTGCTGGGGATCAAACCCAGGTCAGCTGCATGTCAGACAAGTACCCTGCTCACTGTATTATTACTCTGGTCCCTACAAACACACTTTCCATGTGCAAAATGAGGAAATATATCAAAGGTCCAGGGAAGAAAAGGGAAAAAAAGGCAAGCAAAATAAGTAAGGCGAAGTGGTTAGATTTGAGCTTGGAGGTGAGCCAAGGGCCACTGGGAGACCTATTGGTACAATATGGAGAGTTTTCAAGGTAGTTGCAATGGCCTTCCAGTTTTAGAAGGAATAAGATCAAATTATATGAGGATGAGAGGGAAGATTTTGTCTGATTCCTATAGTGCCCGGTTATTCCTCTGGAGATAGGAGCAGTACATAGAGGGAGGTGAGCAATAGGCAGGACCAGAGGCCAACTGGAGTCAAACCACTCACGTTCTACATAGGGTTACTCAGCAGAGTTAATCATTGCACAAACGATTTGTGTTTTGCATCAGGTTACGTAGGTCAGTCATTGCACCCATGGTAGCAAACAGGCAAGAGCCCTCCATAAATCAGTTAAACCCCATCTGATATTGCATCATCTCTAACTCGTGGATGTTGTAAGCGATGTTGCAGAACCAAACTCCAATTTGGCACACAAAAAGAAATTTTAGAAACCAAAAGGGAACAAGCACAAAGATGGGTTTGGCATAAAGTTGGGGGTAAAATGAAGGCATGGCCATCCCTCCTCAATAAACAGGAGGAGGCAGGATCCTACCCTCTTAGACTAGCTCATCCTGTTCACTCTACTCTCGGGTCACCATCTCTTAGGATTCATTCGTAGGCTTTACTTCTTACATTTTTTAAAAAATTAATTAATTAATTTTGCTTTTTTGGGTCACACCTGGCAAGGCACAGGGGTTACTCCGGGCCCTGCACTCAGGAATTACTCTTGGCGGTGCTCAAGGGACCATATGGGATGCTAGGAACTGAACCTGGGTCCACCGAATGCAAGGCTAATGCCCTACCCGCTGTGCTATCGCTCCAGCCCCCTACTTCTTACTTTTAAGTTTTGATTTCTCAACTTGGTGGACGGCCGTGGTGCTAGCCTGAGGAAAGAACCAATGTCTCAGTGGAGCTCAGCTCTGTCTCCCAGGCAGGTCACTGTAGGACACAGGCAACTCCAAAGTCTTGAGTAGAAGAGGATTCATTCTCTTCTGGAGGATCTGCTGGAGGATCCGCCAATTCTTCCCTCAGCTGATTCAGAAGGTCTCTGCTTTCACTGGGGGGCAAGTTACTCAGGAAGTATGAAGGGGCCAACTCCACCAGCCTGTCAGAGAGAATCGTAATGATCATCATTAGACTAAATCTATATCCTTGTAAAATGCAGGTTCTTCCCCCCATTCCCCTTTCATTTTGCAGCCATTAACTGTTAGTGCTCACGGCTTACTCCTGACTCTGTGCTCAGGAATTATTCCTGGCAGGACCTCAGGGACCACATAAGGTACCAGGGATCGAACTCAGGTTATCTGCATGCAAAGATATCTTTCGTTCTATAACGCAGGTTCTTAAACTTATTTATTTACTTATTTTTCAAGGGCTGGAGCCATAGCACAGCGGTAGGGCATTTGCCTTACAAGCAGCCAACATGGCCGACCCGAGTTCGATTCCTCCGCCCCTCTCGGAGAGCCTGGCAAGCTACCGAGAGTATCTCGCCCGCACGGCAGAGCCTGGCAAGCTCCCCGTGACGTATTCGATATGCCAAACACAGTAACAACAAAGTCTCCAATGGAGACGTTACTGGGCCCGCTCGAGCAAATCGATGATCAACGGGAGGGCTGTGCTCAGGGGCTACTCCTAGCTCTGTGCTCAGAATTGAGCCCTTGGCAGTTCTGAGGGTTGAATCATGGTCAGTCACAAGTAAATCAAATGCCTTAACCCCTGTACTAACTCTCTGATCAAGGAATGACATTCTCCACCCCCCAGCCCTTGGCGGTTCTGGGGATTGAACCCAGGGCCTCACACCTGCAAGGTAAGGACTCCATCGCTGAACCCCATTCCCAGCCCTCCCCTCTTCTTAAGGCTCTATATGCCCAGTCATCGTTTTGCTGGGGAAGAGGACTATGCATTGTTGGAGGTATGGGAGGGAACTCACATCTGTGGTTGAATCTCAGAGACTATGGAAAGGCAGTTGTCTCTGGAAATGGAGAAATTGTGGTAGAGCACCCATGGTGGAAGTGTGGCGGGGGGCCGGCGGCCTCGATAGCAGCAGTATGGGGAGAGCTGGGCCACATGCTTATGGGTCAGGAGCAGGTAATTTCCGGTTCCATCTGTGTCTCGAGCCACCTCATTAAAAGGGAAAGGCACGGAAGGAATAAGTAAGGCGAGGCAAACTCTAAAAAACAAGTAACAGAGTCTAAGAAAGAATTAGCTAGGGTGGTCAAGGAATTCAGAAGCAGAGTGACCTAGAGTAAAGAATTAGTAGTCACGTTCCTGGACCTGGCATCTTCCCTAGTCCCTTGCTTCTCGAAGCCGCCAAGGAAACGTTTCTCAAAGGAACCCTTTACAATGGCCACCTCAGCCATTTCACAGGTGGCATGCCTGTCGCAGGCTCCTCTGCCATCTGCCTCTTTAGAGCTCCCAGCCCTTCTCTCCCCTAACCTTGAGGAAGTAGCCTGACAACAGTGCTTTCTGAAGGTCTCTGCGATTCTGCTCAGAGCCAAAGGCAGGTTGGGATAAGGGAAGTTCAATTCGTTGCATGAGTTCTTGAAGTTCTTCTCGAAGTTTCTGGGCCTGGCACAATGCTGCCCAGTTTAGACCTCGAGCCTGGCACCAAGTTTTGTCTGCTCCACCTAGGAGAGGAAAGCGACCATCTACAACTAAATTCCTCGAGGCCCGGAAAGCATCCCACCGTTGTCGAAAGGGCCCCTTCTTTCAGTCACAGGGACTGGTAGCTGGCTGCACACCCCTTCTCCTCTTTCGGAAATCTAAGCTGCGTTATGCAGGTGCAGAGAAGGCCACTCACTCTGTACAAAGGCCTCATAGACCTGGATCAGAGAGCAGTGATCGCCGTCTGTGTGTTCCAGAGCCCGACGCAACGCGGCTTCTTCTGCACAGCGTGGGGGATGGGTATACCCAGGGGCAGCTAGAGGCAGAAGAAAAGGTCATTTCGGGGCATGAGAGAGGATAATGGCAAAGGCAGAAGGCTGAAAAGTCAAACTGTCATTTGGGGAGCTTTATTCCAAGGACATTGATAACTTCCAGATGTTAGGTACTTTATTAGACATTAGTGATTTTAAAAGTTGAAAGTGGGAGGAGGGGCATGGTGGAGAGATGTACAGTGGGTAAGGTACTTGCTTTGCACAAGACTGACCCAGGTTTAATCCCTGGCACCACAGATGGTCCCCAAAGCCCCACCAGGAGTGATCCCTGAGTGAGGGATCAGGAGTAAGCCCCGAGCACTGCTTCGTGTGGGCCCCAGAACCAAAAAATCCAAACAAACAAATGTTGAAAGTGGGCTCAGAGAGATAATATAGCAGCCCCTTGCAAGGGGCTGGTCTGGCTTGATTCCTAGCATCGCACATGTTTCCCTGAGCCTGCCAAGAATGATCCCTGAGCACAGAGCCAGGAGTAAATCTTGAACACAGCCAATGTGCCCCCCCCCCCACACACACACACAAAGAATCCAGCTGAGAAGTGAGGAGGTGGTGATAATGAGGATGAAAGAAAGCAGATGCTCCCCCCCCTTTTTTAAAGAGGGGTCTCAGAGCTATCTCAAAGGGCTGGAATTCATGTGTGAGGTCCCAACTTTGACCTGCGGTGCCACAGATCAAACTTGGCACAACAACATTGGCCCAGAGCAGAACTGCATCATTGGGCTTGAGGTTCAAACCACTAGGCCTGCATCACTGAGGTAAGTTACACCGGGAATGGTGCCACCGTGGCACTGCTAGGGAGTCCCTATCAAAAACAAAGGAAATGAAAATCAGAATGAGTCTAGAGTGACCCGGCAGCAAGGCTGTGGGAGGAAGGGATCTTGTGGGAGTTTAAGAAAGTGCTAGAAGGGAGCATGACTCCCCGTGAGCACATGTGCAGGCACAGACACGAAGTGTGTGAGCCCCCATAAGCCCTGTAGCCAGAGGAGTGGGCCTGGCAGGCACCACACACCAGGGGTCAAACGTGTGGGGACCTTTGCTTATCACAGCTGCAGCAGCAGCAAAGCGAAAGGAAGTGCTTGAGGAACTGAAGATAAAAATGTCTGTCGGGGTCAGGTATGTAAATATGGGGTTCAAAAATGGGATGAGGGGGCTGGAGCAATAGCACAGCAGGTAGGGTGTCTGCCTTGCATGCAGCTGACCCAGGTTCGATATGATCCCATATGATCCTTTGAGTACCACCAGGAGTAATTCCTGAGTGCAGAGCCAGGACTAACCCCTGTGCATCGCTGGGTGTGACCCAAAAAGCACTGTCAAACTGTCCTCCCGTTGTTCATCAATTTGCTTGAGTGGGCCCAATAACGTCTCTGTTGTGAGACTTGTTACTAAGCTTGGCATATCAAATACGTCACAGGGAGCTTGTCAGGCTTTGCCATGCGGGTGAGATACTCTCGGTAGCTTGCCAGGCACTCTGAGAGGGGCGGAGGAATTGAATCCGGGTTGGCCCGGTCAGCAGTGTGTAAGGCAAATGCCCTACCTGCTGTGTTATCGCTCCAGCCCGACCCAAAAAGAAAAAAAGAAAAAGGCATGGGCCAGGAGGTACAGCATTTGGGCCACGGGGGAGTGAAGGAGGCACTTCAGACCAGAAATGATGAACTTGTGGATGGGTGAGAGGAATGAGTCAGTGGGACAAGACAGAACCCAAGGTCCAACTTACGTGGGAAGTGCAGTAAAGGAAGATCTCAGGGAAGAGCTCCAGGGGCAGTTCAGACAGGAAGGATGCAAATGAGGAGAGAGGAGCCAAGGAGGTCGGGAGCAAGTCAGGGAGACAGAGAAGCAGCTTCACAGCTCTAGTGATCAGCTCTCTCAACTGTCAGAGACCCAGCAGGGCCTGAGAGATGGTTCAGGTGGTACTAAGGCACTAGCCTTGCATGCGGTGTAGAGGTCAACCCTTCATTAGTCCCTACCACTGTCAAGCATGGCCCCTGAGCACTACCAGGTGTGGCCCAAAGCACCAACCCCCCTGAAAAACAGAAACAAAACCCAAAAGTTTAGGACTGAGTTTATGGGAGGTGATCAGGAGTTGAAAGCTTCAGGACCATGAGGGACCCAAGGATGGGACAAAGGGAACAAGGACGGCACCTTCTATAGAGCAATTTTGTTTGTTTGGTTTGGGGCCACACCCAGCAATGCTCAGGATTTACTTCTGGCTCTGGAGCTCAGGGATCACTTCTGAAGGGGCTTCGGAGACCACATGGGATGCCAGGAATCAAACCTGGGTCTGCTGTGTGTAAGGTAAGTGCCCTACCCACTGTACTGTCTCTCTGGCTTGGCGCAGAAATTATTCTGAAGTGCTGAAGGGAGTAGACTGTTGAGTAAAGGGTGGGGCATTTCAGTAATAATGGAGAGGAAGGGCAGGGTAGTACAGTAGGTAGGGTGCTTTGTTGCTCGAGGCCAACCCAGGTTCAATCCCTGGCACATCAGAAGGTCCCCTGAGCCCACCAGGAGTGATCCCTGGGCACAGAGCCAGGAGTAATCTCTGAGCACCAAAAAATAAAAATGAATAATAATGGGAGTTGGAGATATAGTACAGTGGGTAGAGTGTCTGCCTTGCATGTGGCTGACCCAGATTCAATCTGATGTCCCAATCTGATGTCCCCCAAGTACCACCAGGTGGGTCTGGATCAAAATAGTACAGCAGCTAGGGCATTTACCTTTTACAGAGCTGACCTGGGTTCAATCCCTGATACCCCATACAGTCCCCCAGAGCACCTCCAGAAATAATTACTGTATGCTGAAACAGGAGTAAGCCTTGAGCATTATCGAGTGTGACCAAAAAATCCCCTCCTTACCCCCAAAAAACCAAGCACCACCAGGAGCAACACCTGAGTGCAGAGTCAGGAGTAGCCCCTGAGCACTGCCAGGTGTAACCCCCAAACAAAATGATAATAACAGTAATAATGGAGAGAGATTTGAACATGTAAGAAAGGGTAGAAACAGGAGAGGGCACATGATCCAGCTTGGCTCCCGCATCACCAAGGGCGGTGAAGCGTAGAGCCAGAACCATGGTGGGGGGGGGGGGGGGCGGACGGCACTGTCAAAGGCCATGGGAGAGGCTATTCGTACCCGTGAGCATGGCGGCCAGAGTGAGCATCTCGTCCACACAGTTGAACTCGCATGAGGCTAGCAGGGCTTTGGCGAGCTCAGGGGGCAGCGGGAACTCGGATAAGATGATGCCCAGGTCTGAGAGGTCTCCGTCGTCATCCAGGGCTGCTAGGTAGTCTAAATCTTCCAGGGCCTGCATCAGCGCCTCTGGAGCTGGTGATGAAACAGGCCTCAGCACAGGGGCTCTGGGAGGCCCCTGGGCAGCTGAGGGGGCAGGACGGGTGCTCACAGGGTCGGTCCAGGAAGTGACAGTATGCTGGCTCTGCGATCTCTTTCCTCTTCAACAGCAACACCAGGGAGCTCAGATTCTCCTCACACACCCTGGGCTGGGGCAGTGGGGCAGCGTCTAGTTCTAGGAAGGACTTAGGGTACAGGCGGAGGCAAGATCCTGAGGTGACAAAGGGCAGGGAAAGCGCTGTTGCTTCCTCCGCTCTTGGGGTTGGGGTGGCACTGTGTGCTCAGGGAGGGCCGGCTCTCACCTGGAGGGGACCCTCTTGCCCGCTGCCGTCTGGCCTCTGCCTGGCACCTGCTGATGGGCCTCAGCATCTGGGATTCTGCTCGGATCTGAGGCTTGTACACCTGTCAGCGCACCCCCAGGGAAGGCTGCAAGTGATCACTGGGGCATTGGGCGGGTCTCATGGGCGCCCCCCCGCCACCCCTGCTCTCACTCACGCTGCGAAGCTCCATCCCTGAGTCAATGACGTGGCGGACAGAAGGGAGCGAGAAGGCAAAGTCAGCCAGCCAGTGAGTGAGCACGATTTTCTGGGCCCCCAAGTCTGAGTCCTCGTAGACAGCCAGCACGGCTCGGCCCAGGCCTGGGTGAAGGGGCAGCACCTGTGGTGGAGGCCCTGGCAGAGCCAAGAGCTTTATCTCCCTGGACAAGGCTTCACAGCACAGGGAGATTTCCTGAGGAGAAACGTGTGGTGTTAAGGCACTCTCGCCCGCTGGCGTTCCCAAACCCCTCTGAAAGCTCTGACCCTTCACACTGAAAAAAAATGCACATCCTCTGGGACTGGAGAGGTAACATAGGGCTAAGGAGTTTGCCTCGCACACGTCCAATCCGGGTTCAATCCCTGGTACCACATATCATCCCCTGAGCCTGCCAGGAGTGATCCTGGAGTGCAGAGCCAGAAGTAAGCCCTGGGCACGACGGATGTGGCCCCAAACAGAACAAGACACAAATGCATGAAGTTGTGAGGCTGGAGCGATAGCACAGCAGGGAGGGCATTTGCCTTGTATGCTGTCAACTCGGGTTCAATTCCCAGCATTCCATATGGTCCCCTGAGTACTGCCAGGAGCAATTCTGGAGCAGTTCCTGAGTGCAGAGCCAGGAGTAATCCCTGTGCATCACTGGGTGTGACCAAAAAACAAAACAAAACAAAACAAAACCCAAAAAAGAAACCCCAAAAAACCCCCAACAAAGCATGGAGTTGTGAAATTGGGGGTGTTTGGCTTCTCGGCAGCCAGAGCAGCACAGATTTCTGCATTAGCCAGAACCAAAAGGTGGTAAACCTCTCTATGTGTGGGATCCGTGTGTGTGTCCTCAGGGCCCAGTAAATACGACAGCTCCTGCGTTCCTAATCAGTGTCATTCTATGACTGGGGCACTGGGCACCAGGAGGTGGCACCTGCGAGTACCTTTCTGCAGCCCCTTTTTACCTCCTCACTGGGCAGGTACACAAGCACATCTCCCGGTGTCTCCTGCCGACACAGATCAAGCACTGCTTGACAGGCTGCTTCCACTCGATCCGGAGGGACAGTGTCCCTATAGTCAGGGCTGGGGTCTCCCCCGGGGTTTCTGGGCACGTGAACAGTGGGAGGGCTGCCCCAGAAGGTCTGGAGCTTGGGTTCAAAGGCTGGGTCGGTAACCACGACCACCTTGGGATCCCCTGGGAGATTTCCCAGGCTGGCATCTCGCAGCAGCCCCTGGAGTACGTCTGAGGCCACTGATCGCTCCTGGGCCTCATCCAACACCAGCACACCCCAGGTTCCCGGGCCCCGGGTGGAGGCCATCTCCTGCAGGAGTAATCTGTCCCAGCAGAACCTGTTGACAGTGGAAGGACGTGGAGGAATCAGTGTGGATGCTGACCATCTCTGCAAGTCCAGGGGACCTTCTGGCGTGGAGCAGGGGGTGCTCTTTTGATAGCGAAGGCCAGAGCAAGACCATGGCTGGCTTCCTAAGTGCTCACCCCTCTGATGACACTTTGGTTCCTGAGCACACGCCAATGGGGAAAGTGAGGGTGAGCCAACTGTCTGAGGGCCCTGGCGGGGAGGAGGGTTTAATTCAGCACTGGCAGCAAGCGGGACATAGAGGGTGAGTGGGGCTGAGAGGCGCAGGGTCGGCCTGTGGGAGCCCCCACCTGAGCACGGTGTCAGGCCCCGTGCAGTCCTCCTGGGGGATGCTGTATCCGACCTCATGACCCAGCGTCAGGTCCATCTCATCAGCAACGCGCATAGCCAGGCTCAGGGCTGCCAGAGGGTAGGGTTGAGTGACGGTCACCGGGCCCTTCTGAAGGCCCCTGGCCAACACAAACTCTGCACACCACTGAGGGATCTAGCGTAGGGAGGGAAGGGCAGTCCGTCAGAGATCTGTGCCAAAGGGTTTGTCTATAGTCTTTATTTGGGGGTGAGGGGCTGCCCAGGTTGCGTCTCCCTTGGTCCACCTCCCCTTCAGCCTTTCGCAGCCCCGTCCTCCCAGATCCTCCCCACCTGGGTGCTCTTGCCCGAGCCAGGCTCCCCGGACACCAGCACCACCCCGCCAGGCCCACTCTCCAGCTGCTCCAGGAACACAAAGCGAGCTGCCCAGATAGGCAGGGCGCGCCGGCACTCCAGCAGCTCATAGTAGCGGGAGGAGAAGGGAAGCCCATCAAATGGGTTCACGGCCAGCTCGGGCTCCTCAGGGTTGCCCCCGGGCTGCTCAGCCGGCCTGCGAAGCTGAGAGGCCATGCTGGCTCCGGCAGGACCTACAGAAGGCAGGGCGGCCGTTAGGGTGCGGTGGATGCAGACCCACACGTACCCCACCTCAGTGGGTCCTGGACTTGGAACTGTAGGGGATGATGCCCGGGGTCTTCTTCCTAGCATTGTTTTGGGTTGTGCTGGGAATTGAATCCAGAGCCTCACAGAAGAGAGGCACGTGTTCTACCATTGAGCCCCACCCTGGCCCCTTCCTGCCAGCAAACAGTGCAGCCTGAGTTCCCCAGAAAGGCGCTACCGAGAGGGCTGTTACACTCTGGGCAAATCATGGAAAGCTTGTGACCAACACTGGGGTCCTCAAGGCCAGTAAACACAAGCCCCCCCAGGTAACTTACAGGAACATCCCCGGGGAAAAGGAGAGTGAATGAAAGAAAGTGGGGAGCAGGACCCCAAGGATCCTGGATTCAAACCTGCTTGCAGCTGAGACGCGTCAGGGTGGCAGCCAGTTCCACAGCTACCCGGCCAGTCATCACTAACCCTGACCCTCGTGAAGTACAAAGGTAAATTCCGGCTCCACCTTGGGGCTCGGCTCAATGAGAATCCTGGACTGCTCTGGGGGTGGGGTCACTTGCTCCACCTTATTTAACTTAGGATCCTATGGAAGACGGGCTCTAGACCTTAGTGAGCATGTGTCAACTCCAGCCCGTGTTCAGAGTTCACTGGTGAAAGGCATCTTGGACCTTGTAGTTCTGTATCAACGTCTTCACCAGCTGGCACAACCACCTTCAAGCTGGCCGTCAGCTGCTGCGGGAGCTTCAGTTCAGTTTCACTTCTTGATGTTACTCATCTCTTGCCTTAGAGAGGTGATTTCAGGTGTGTGTGTTTTGGGGTCACACCCCATGTACTGCTTGCCAAGTCATGCTCAGGATACCAGGTGGTGCCAGGTAGTGACCCTAAGGCTCCCCACATGCAAAGCATGAACCTTCTCCCTAGCCTCAGGGGTGTTCCATTCTGACTCCCATAACCCCGCAGGAGGACAGCCCCCTTCCCCAAAATGAAAGGAAAAGATACAGACTTTGGGGCTGGGGTATGTGTGTGACATGCTTCGGAAACCCAGAGAGGCAACAGAGACCTTGAGTGAAAACCCTGAATTTAATGTGATTTGGGGGGGGAGCCCCATCCCTCCCTTTCCACCACCCACCCAGCCGGCCTGTTGTGAGTTGGGTGAGGGCTGCCCCCAGTCTCCGTCCTGCGGCTCTGGGTACTGTCCTGTGCTCAGTCAGCCTCCTGGGCCCGTTTTTCTTTGTATCTCCTGCGGGGACACAGAAACAGCGTGTGAGCATCGCCGCTGCGGTGCCAACATTCCCTGTCCTCAACCAGCCGTCGTTCCCGCCATCCTTTTCTCACCTTCTCGCATATTCGTACAATGCCTGCTTGCGCTCCTGGAGGCTTTCCTGCCGGGCCCAGGAGGACTTGGCAAATGTTAGCTGTGGGGTCACCGGGCCAGAGCTGGGGAACTGAGGTGATCACAATGTCAGAGGGCTTGCGAAGTCATCGGCATTAAGCCTGCATCGAATGCCTACTTGGCAAGAGAGGCACCGTGCTAGGGTCTCAGGATCAGAATGGAGACGCCACAGGCAAGGAGAGTGCAGACTGCGCCAGCCCACCCAAGGGCTCAGACCTGACGCTGCTCGGGACTCACCTTGGAGGCAGAGGCAGTGGGAAGGGACTGGGTCCCCTCCGTGATGTCTTCAGGCACAAAAGCTACGGCCCCCTCGAGTAGATTAGTGATGGTCAAGTCTACACAGCCGGTCCTGGCTGGGAAGAAGGGGAAGGGGGAGGCTCTGGTGCCTACTCACCTTCTCCCCGCATCACCCCCTCTCTGTCTCCCCAGGCGAGGCGACGCGTTCCCATACCCAGGTCTCTCTGGATAACACCCAGTGGCACATGGGGTAAAACCTCCTTGACTCGATGAGCCAGAGTTGTCAGCTGCGCATCAGGAGAAGGGCCAGGGGAGGCAGGGAAAGAAGACTGGGCTGCAAGAAAGAAATCCCAGGTCGAGTGCGCGAAGAACCACGGGGGGGAAGGCGGGGTCTACCCGCACAGCGAGAGGGAGGCTATCGCTCACGGCTGACAATCCAAAAGCTGGGGGACACAGGCCACACACCTGTGTGGGGGCGCGATCTCGGATGTCTCTGTCGCTTCATGTGCTCTGCTTTGTCTGCGGGGGTGAGTCGTGTCCCTGTCTGGCCCAACTCCTTCGCCACCAGCTGGGGGAAACACGAAAGGTTGCAAGGGCCGCCGGGACGAGGCTGCCTCCCCAGCCTCCAGCCTCCAGCCTGCCCACGGACTCCCCACCTGTTGGACGCGGAGGGCAAACTCCTCATTCCCCTCCCCTCGCTGGCGATGAACAGGGCGCAGCCATCTGCAAGCATCAAGCCAGGGCCACGCTGGGGCATCAGAGGTCGAGGCTGCCCCCTCGTCCCTCTCGATACCTCTACCCACGGCACGGTGGCGGCGAGCGGACGGCCACCAGGGTGGAGTGGTGGCGCTAAAAGAGCTGCAAGCGGGCAGGGCCGGCCACCTACTTCCTCCACTCACGGTGAGCTTCTCCCAGCCACCGGAAAATGAGGACAATTAATACCTTACTTGATACACCGTGAAAGGGACGAACAGGGACCACAGCAGTTCTGAGATCCAGGAGGCATCCGACACCGTCTGAGGGAGGGAGAGGAGGTGAGGTCTGGGCCACAGCCCGAGTCTTCCCTGCACGCCCCCCCACCCCACCTTCGGCTGTCCCCACACACTCACCACCGAGACCAGGGGTCGCTGGACCCGCAGGGTCAGGGGCTGAACCACATCCTGAATGGAAAATGGCCAGGAACTAGGAAGGGGGAGGGAGAGCAGGATGGGGTTCCATCTCATCAGTCAGCAGCCCGGCCCCCCCTTCAACCAGAAAACGCTCACACCGGACCGCAGAGACACGGGAATGACGGGACTGGGGTGCACTGGGGGGGAAGCGTGGGGGGAAGGTGACGTGGACAGAAAGAGAACGGAACTAAGACGGACTGCCCCAGAGAGCGAAAACCCGGCCCCCCTCCCCCAAGCCTGACCGCCTACCCAGTGCGGGAGGATCCCCAGCTCACCCACCTGAAGTGCAGGAGACCCTCCCGGCCATTGGTGGCCTCCTCCTCGGGGAACAGCAGCAGAGGGATGGGGGCGGGGCTCGTGGAAGCGCAGAATCTCTTGAGTGAATCCACCAACTCCCCGCGCCCATCCATCTCCGTGAAGCCCCGGGACCAGCACACAAAGCTGGGGGGGCTATTGAGCAGAGGCTGGGAACGGCGAGGAGAGAACGCAGAAAAAAAAGAGGAAAAAGAAGGCTGGTTGGGAAGTGAGAAATACCGACAGGCGGGGCAGGAACGACACAGAAGCCAGGTCTAGGGGCACGGCTCTGGCACCCCGCGCGGGGGTGGGGAGGCCCGGGGCGCCCGCGGGTGTCGCAAGCCCCGCCACTCACGGTGGTGCAGCTGGTGAGCAGGTTGACCATGTTGTGGTCGAACGGGGTCACATGGTTGGAAATGAGGATCCGGACGCGCCGGTCGCGGAGCGCCGAGTCCTCCTGCCAGGCCACGAGCCCCAGCACCGCACACATGGTCCGCACCACGAACCTGGGGCGCAGGCGGCGGTGAGCCCCTGCCCGGCCCCGGGTCCGGCCCGCCCGCCCGCCCGCCCCGGCCGGCACCTGCGCACGCAGTCGGGCAGCGCGCAGCTGACCAGGAAGACGTGGATCCCCAGGAAGAGCCGCAGCACCAGCAGGCAGAGGCCGACGGGCGCGTAGAGCAGCAGCGCGAGCAGCAGGAAGCCGTCGCCCGGGAGCCTGCGGGGAGACGCGGCCGGTGGGCACGGAGCGGCGCGCGCGGCCCGGGCCCGGCCGCCGGCCTCCCCCCGCCCGCTCACCGGTGCGCGTCAAAGAGCCGCTCCGGCCCCGGCGCCGGCGGAGCGTCCATCGCCGCTGCCTCAGGGCCGCCCGGCTGTCGCCGCCGCCGCCGCCGCCGCCGCCATCTTCGCGCCCCGCCGCAGGGGCTCCTGGGAAGGCGGAGTCCGGGGGCCGCCGCCCAGGGTGCCGGCGCCCGAAGCCGGGGCGCCCCGGAAGGGCTCGTGGTCCCGGCGTGCCGCGCGCGCCTCGGCCGGCCGGGACTCCAAGTCCCGGCATCCCCCGCGCGCGCGCGGAGGCCGGCGGGTCCCGGCGGGTCCCGGCGTGCCGCGCGCCCGCCGTGCGCCCGCGGGCCTGCGGGGCGCCGCCTCTACGTGGGGGCGGGCGGGCGGGGCGCGGCCGAGGCGGAGTCCATGGCTGCCCTGAGGGCGGGGCGCGCGGCGGGCTGCTGCCTCGGAGCGTGGCGGGCTCGGGGCGGGGGGCTTCGCCTGGCGGGGCCCCCGCCGGCCCCTCACCCCCGGGGCCTGCTGACGTCGGGCTCTCCCGAGCCGCGGGCGCGGGGGGCGGCGGGCGACCCCGGCGCGGGGGCGCGCGGCCGCGTGTGGCTGGCCGTGGCGCTGGGCGCGGGGGGCGCCGCGGGGCTGCTGCTGCTGTGGGGCGGGGGCCGGGGGTTCCCCGCCGTGCGGGCCGCCGTGCCCGCCCCGCCGCCGCCGCCGCCGCCGCGCTCGCCGCGCTCGCCCCGCAGCCAGTACAACTTCATCGCCGACGTGGTGGAGAAGACGGCGCCCGCCGTGGTGTACATCGAGATCCTGGGCCGGTAACGGGGGCGCCGGCGCGGCGGGGCGGGGGCGGGCGGCGGCGGCGGCGGCGCGCCCCTCACAGCGTGCGCCCCCCACGCGCAGGCACCCGTTCTCGGGCCGCGAGATCCCCATCTCCAACGGGTCCGGCTTCGTGGTGGCCTCGGACGGGCTCATCGTGACCAACGCCCACGTGGTGGCCGACCGGCGCCGCGTCCGCGTGAGGCTGCCGAGCGGGGACACGTACGAGGCCGTGGTCACCGCGGTGGACCCCGTGGCCGACATCGCCACGCTGAGGATTCAGACCAAGGTCGGGCACCGGAGGGCAGCCCCGGGCCGGCGCGGGCGACCACCCACCGCGCGCGCCCCCGCCCCCCGCAGGCGCCGCCGCGGTGACCCGCCGCGTGTCGCGCCCTTGTGCCGCAGGAGCCGCTCCCCACGCTGCCGCTGGGCCGCTCGGCAGATGTCCGGCAGGGCGAGTTTGTCGTCGCCATGGGAAGCCCCTTTGCCCTGCAGAACACCATCACGTCCGGCATCGTCAGCTCCGCGCAGCGTCCGGCCAAAGACCTGGGCCTCCCCCAGACCAATGTGGAGTACATCCAGACCGATGCGGCGATTGATGTGCGTCCCGTTAGGAGAGCCCGTGGCCGGCGGGGTCGGGGAGGGGCGAGGCCCTGTGGAGCACGGCTGTGGTGGACGGTGGAGGAGCCAGGGTGCTCAGATTGGGCTGCAGAAACGTGACACCCCCTCCCCCGATTCAAGGGCTGGACAGGAGAGGATGTGGAGCAAATGCCTACTGCCTGGTTATGTCCTCAGTCACAGTCCCTGGATCTCTCCCATATTTTCTTCTTGTCCTGCAGTTTGGGAACTCCGGAGGGCCCCTGGTTAACCTGGTGAGTGGCACAGCCTTCTTCCCAGGATTCCCTACCCCAGGTCAGTGTGGTGGGTCTCCCCTACTTCGGTCACGTGGGTCAAATTTCTGAGCAGTGTATGTTGGTGAGTTCCCCGAAGTCGCCTAGCTTACCTCCCGCTCCTCCGCCATGCTTGGTGGCCGCTCCCATTCAGCCGCCAGCCCCCCATGTTCCTCTTTATTTGGGCTAGGGAACAGTGGGGCTCTGTTCCTGCAGGATGGGGAGGTGATTGGGGTGAACACCATGAAAGTCACAGCTGGAATCTCCTTTGCCATTCCTTCCGATCGCCTTCGAGAATTTCTGCATCGTGGGGAAAAGAAGAGTGAGTGTGGCTTCAGTGGGAGAGGTGGCAGCCAGGGGCACGCGGGGCCTTGCTGGATGGGGGCTGTTGGGGGGAAGGAACGGGAGGTCGGGGAGGGGGGTGCTGCAGCTGAGGAGGCTCTTTGGTCCGTCTGTCACAGGTAGCTGGTTTGGACTTGGTGGGTCCCAGCGCCGCTACATTGGGGTGATGATGCTCACTCTGACCCCCAGGTATGTGGACGAGGGTAGGGACATGCAGCAGGAACACCAGTGTGATGGGGGGTAGGGGGGTGGGGAGTTGAGGAGCAGGTTTCACACTAAACTTTGGGGCCACATTTTTCCTTATCTGGGTTGAACACCTTTCTGTTCAGAGCTTGAGACAGGTGAACTGCCCTGTCGTCATTGAGCTCTCTCACCCCACTTTATTTTGTGCCCCAGACCCCTGATATCGTCCTGCTGCTTGCTTTGACTTCAGAACCCTTCATCCCTTTATCCTGTGTGTAGGGCAGTATTTCGTTTGGCTTACATTCGGTCTCCCAGACCTGCCTTTCTTCATGTTCTCATTCAGCCAATCTGATTTTCGTCTGTTTGCCTTTGTTATCTTTGTTGTTTTGGGCCACATCTGGCTGTGCTCAGGGCTTACTCCTGGCTCTGCACTCAGGGATCACTCCTGATAGGGCTCAAGGAACAATATGGGGCCCGGGGAGGGAATTGAACATGGTCAGCTGCATGCAAGGCAAGCACCCTACTGGCTGCACTATCTTTCTGGCCTTCAGCTAATCTGATCTCGCATGTTTGTATTCGTGTTTTTACTTTCTACAGTCTGATGTTTTGTGTTTTTTCAAAAAATGCATTTGTATTTCTCTTTTATCAGTATGAAGCAATAGCACAGCTGGTAGGGCATTTGCCTTGCACGCAGCTGACCTGGGTTCGATTCCTCCGTCCCTCTCGGAGAACCCGGCAAGCTACCGAGAGTATCCCGCCCGCATGGCAGAGCCTGGCAAGCTCTCTGTGGCGTATTCGATATGCCAAAAGCAGTAACAACAAATCTCACAATGGAGACGTTCCTGGTGCCCGCTCAAGCAAATTGATGAACAACGGGATGACAGTGCTACTTTCTACAGTAAAACACCAGATCCATCTTTCTAGGCTCAGCTTGAATTCGGCTCCCTCCTTTTTGGGGGAGAGGAGTGGGAGGGCAAGTCCTGTGGTGCTTGGGGCTCATTTCTGGCTCAGTGCTCAGGGATCAGCCCTGGTGGGCTTTAAGGAGCATCTGGAGTGCAGGGATCAAGCCTTGCATTGCTTTGGCCGCATGCAAAGCAAGTGCTTTCCTTGTTGTACTATCACTCTATCCTCAACTCTGCCTTCAAACTTTTGAGGATTTTAGAATGACGCGGTGTTGCTGAGTTCACATTGCATGTCATTTGAAATTAGCTGCCTTTAAATACCTGTGCCACTTCCTAACTGCTAGAAGGCAGGACGTGAATTGCCTTTGTGTCTGGCATACGTAAGAGCACAACTGGAGAGAGCATAGCAGGGAAGATACTTGCTGTGCATGCAGACAACCAAGGTTCAGTTCCTAGCACTGTGTCCACATTTGGCCCTCTGAACCCTGCCAGCAGTGATCCTTGAACACAGAGCCAGGAGTAAGCCTTGAGTAACCCAGTGTGGCTTCCCTTTGTCTGCCCCCCCAAGCCCCTTGCAAAAAGGGGGGCTCTGTGCAGTGTCTGTCAGACACAGGAGATGAGGCAGGATGGGCGCGTGCCTTGGGTGGTTACCGGTCACTCTGTCCTTGCAGTATCCTTGCTGAGCTGCAGCTCCGAGAGCCGAGCTTTCCTGATGTCCAGCACGGCGTGCTCATCCACAAGGTCATCCTCAACTCCCCGGCACACCGGTGAGGGAGAGGACAGCGGGAGGGGCTGATGGGCTGTGTCTGTGCCCCCGAACTGGGCTAGCTGTGCCCTCCTTCCCCCTAGGGCTGGTCTTCGACCAGGCGACGTGATATTGGCCATTGGGGATCAGCTGGTGAAAAGTGCCGAAGATATTTATGAAGCTGTTCGAACACAGTCCCAGCTGGCAGTCAGGATCCGGCGGGGACCGGAAACATTGACCTTGTATGTGACCCCCGAGGTCACGGAGTGAATGACTTAGCGAGGGTGAGGCCCGGGCCCGCTTTCTGTGCGACTTTCCTGACCTCCACGCAAAGGGCACCTGGACGGAGGCTTAAGCGAACCAGTTGGGGGCAGGTCCCTGCAACCATCAGCACCAGCTCTTGGGCTCCGACGAAAGGAAGGCAAGAATGCTTTTTATATAAAATAAAATTATACCCAGCAACATGTTGAAGTCAAAAACGGGTTGGCAAGGGTTTGGGGCGAGGGGGGTGTAGTGCAGATGGTTTCCCCACCAAAACACTAGAGGTAAAGCTGTACCCCCTTGAATTGAGGGGGGTGCTGAAGCTGGCTGTGCCCACTTCCCTGCTGGCAGCAGGGGCTCTCTTGGTGGTCTCTTTGGGTCAGGCTTGGCCGGGGCTCCAGACAGCCAACCTAGGAAGGAGGGTGGTAACTTCTGCTGACAGTTCTGTGCCCGCAGTGCACGAATGAGTGCGGTGGGCCCGAGGGCGTCTGGCTTCCTTGGTAAGCTCCTGAGGTAATGGCAGCCTCGGGCCCCTGCCACGAGGGGCCAGTGGTGGTTGGTGGAGGAGGGCGGTAGCACCTCAGACGATCTGGTTGCTGGTCTGCCCAGGGTAGCGCTCAAACCTCCTGTTGGCCTCCTCACTGAAAGCGTCGCCTGCAAGGGGAGTGAGGGCCAGGGTGACTGCCAGGACATACGGAGCCCGAGAAGGGCAGGGAGAGAATGAAGACTGCCCCCTCCCCTCCCCCTTTTCCCCCTATGCCCCTCCCGGCTCCCCCACCCCCCCTCTCCCCCATCCTCTCTGGGCTACTCTTCCCAGTAGATACCAATGTGGCAGTTGTGCACCCAGATGCGATGTCCGTCATACTTGCAGTTACATTTCATTGCGTTATTGGTAAAGTCACTCTCTGCTACTTCGAAATTGGGGTTGATGACCACCTGTGAGTTGGGGTGAAAGGCCATTGAGCCCAGCTGCCAGGCTGGACTGCACACCCCACCCCTGGGCTCAGGATCTCTCTGCGCCGCACCTGCAGAATGTAGTTACCAGGCTTCACGTCTGTGATGTCGATCCACTGGCAGTCGATGTCGTGCCGGTAGAGATCCCAGCAGCCCACGGTGATGCCCTGCTCGCCAAAGTTGGCGCATTCGTACCTCTTGGAGACATCTGAAGGGATTGGCACTTGTCAGCGGGGGAGGTTAAGTGAGGGACAGGCCGTGCGTGGTCTGTGCGGGGCCCCACTCACCCTCCTGACACTCGGTGTCTTCTAGACAGAAGCTGGCCTTGTGGCCCTCGGCCACCTTGGTGCCGTTGGGGGTGAGGATGTCGTAGTGCGTGAAGATGTCCATGCTGTGGTAATGCCTGTGGGCACAGGGAACTGTGCTCTGGCTGGCTCCCAGCACGCCTCGCCCGGCCGTGCCTCTGCCCTCCTTGCCCGGCTACCCTCTCACCCGTGACACTCGTGCCACACCCAGGAGTGGCGCCCCGCCTTGGGCCTGAAGTCAGCGCGCCCCAGGTTGTGGATCTGGGAGGAGAAGCGGAGCAGACGCCGGTGGCCGTAAGGCCAGTTGGCGTGGCGGGCAGAGCTGGCCAGGCAGTTCTCCTCAGCGGCACAATAGAGCATGTGCAGCGGCCGGTCCTCGATGTAGGCCGTCTCCTGCACCAGTGCTGAGTGCAGCAGCAGGTCCGACGCCGCTATGGGGTGGAAGGGGAGGGGGACCCGGGGTCAGGTGCCCTCCTGCACGGACGGCCTGACCACAGCGCCCCGCCCTGGCTCAGGCCACCTTCCCGGTCACTCACTCTCAGAGCAGATGACCCCAGCAGTGAAACGGGTCCCTGTCCTCTTGCAGGTGATAGGGGTGGCGTGATGAGCACACTGGTCCAGGGACAGCTCGGTCCCTGAGCAGCGCACGCCGCTCATGACCACCTCCGTTACATTCCCGGAGTCCCAGTACCAGGTCTCCTGGGGAGAGGGAGGGGGCCTATGAGGTCCCACCAGACCCGCGGCCTGGGCCCAGGGCCCTCCCCCACCCCACCGCTCTCGGCGGTGCTCACCTGGAGCCCGTGGTTGGCATAGCCCAGGCCCAGCTGCCTGCAGGCCACCATGGCCTCCAGCGTCCCCCAGTCATCTCCGCAGATGAGGCCCCAGCGGGCCGGCCCAGGCCCCCCTACTTGCACCTCCACGCGCCCCTCGTAGCGACTGCGGCCCCCGCTGAGTCGGATCTGCAGTGAGGGATGAGAGTGGGGGATGGGGGTGCATTTCGGACAGGCTGGTGGGCATTGAGGGCAGTTGGAGCTGCAGGGGGATTTGGCTGAGAGGCTCAGAAGGACTGGCAGGTGGCCCGGGGCCATCAGAGCAGGGTGTCTGGAAACGGGGCGCTCCCTGAGTCCAGGGTGAGCGGATCTGACCTTGGTCTCGACCCCGATGTAGGGCAGGTGGCACCGGAGCGCAGCGTCCTGGCTGTGGGCGCAGTCCTCTGCCGTGATGTTCTTGTGCTGACACTTCCAGAGGGAGGACTCCAGGCCCGAGCAGCGGACGTCGCTCAGATGAATGGCGCCCATCCCTGGGGCAGAGGTCAGGGTCAGGCGGCGCGGCCTCCTGGGCTGCAAGTGGGGCCTCTCCCCCCTCGCCCTCCTCTCTGTCCCCCTCACCCTGCCCCATGCGGGCCCCACTCAGAGCCTCTCGCGCACTCCCGAAGCCCAGCTCCCGACACACCACGCTGGCCGCCTGCAGGTCCCACTTGCGGTCACACACGGTGCCCCACGTGCCGGCCTTCAGGACCTCCACTCGGCCCTCTCCGGGGTGCGCGCCCCCCTTCAGCCGCACGCGGGCCTGCAAAGGAGAAAGGCGTGCCCCAAAGCCCCTGAGTGGCATGGCTGCACGGAGTGGGGGGAGGGACCCCAGGGGAGGGAGGGGAATGGTCTCAGACCCGTGGCCCACCCACTGGAGGGTCCCTCTGTACTCAAAGGCCAGGGCTCTGCTTGGTCTGAGGGTGGCCGGGGTAGTCCATGTCCCAGTCTCACACACCTCCCCGTGAGGCTTCGGCTGCTGCAGCTTCTTCTGGCCACTGGCCACTGCGTAGAGAGGGCCTGGCACACAGCTCACCACCGCAGGGGCCCCCCCAGGGCATCTGGCCGTGTCATTGGCACGATAGAACTCCAGGGAGCAGAGGGAGAGGTGGACCTCGGTGCCCACGCACGCCACCCCATGCAGACCAAACGAGTGTTGCTGCCGCTGCGCCAGCAGTCTGAGGGGACAGCAGGGGGGTGCAGTAGGTGAAACCACGCGCCCGCCTTGCTGCCCGCACCGTGCCTCCATCCACCCCCAGCCTCGGGGGCTCTTCCTTCTTGCCCTCTTCCAGCCGGCACTTTCCCTCTAAGCAGACGAAGGAAGCGGAGAGTCTCCGGCTCAAGAACTTCCGCTGAGCTGACGGCAGGGCCCTGGAGACCGTGGGCTGCTGAAGAATCCCATGTCATTGGCACGATAGAACTCCAAGGAGCAGAGGGAGAGGTGACCTTGGTGCCCACGCATGCCACCCCATGCAAGGATGGCAAGTCGTGACTTGCCTGATGGGAACCCCGTTCTGTGTGGTTCTGGACTGGCCCTAAGAGAGGTCCAGGATGAGGGCCCCGTGCTGGTAGGCAGAGGGGGAGGGGAGCCAGAGTGGCCGGCTGGGAGGGATGGGCAGCAGGGGACTGGCTGACCCCGGGGAAGCCCGAGCAGCCTGAATGAGCATGTCCTCGTTTGCAAAGACGGAAACAGCCGAGCGAGCTAAGCCTGTGTCAAAGTGGCTCCTCAGAGGTCAGAGAAGCTTCCCAGGGCGGGAATGCCGGGCAGGTATGGGAAGGGCAGACGAGGTGGGAGCCTCAGGCAAGAGAAACCAAAGCGAAAGGGTCCCAGGCCAGAGTTGCGCATGACTGTGAACTCGGATGGCACAGGGAGCCCGAGCGCAGCGAGCCCTGGGTGCCGTCAGTGAGGTCCACGCTCTGCAGTGGGAACGTAAGAGAACGTTCCATAACCACCAGCGTGGTAAAGTGGGACTTAAAGCAACATGCTGGGGATCAGAACCATGTGGGAGATGCTGCAGAGACTGTCGGATGAGAGGGTGTGGTGAGGCATACGAAGAAGAGAGAAGGACGCTCAGGATAGCTGGTTCGAACCCAAGGAGGGAGGAGGCCAGGGGAGCCTGGGGGGGCTGGTGAATTACTGGAGTGATGTGCCCATGTATGACCAGGAGGAAGGAATGTGACGTGAAGTGATTGGCTAGGAAAACCTGGAGAGGAGGAAAGGTTAGAAACAAAACCAAGGGAGCCTGGAGACTTGGTGGAATACCTTTGGAGACTGGAGGGAAGTGGATTCTGATGCTCGGAGAGATCAGGTACCCTCCCAAAGTCCAGTATGGCTGAAAATAAGAGTCAAAGAGGCCACCGCAGGAAAAATTCGCGTCTCTTCCAACCCCTCGCTCACCTTTCCTCCATAGCCAACAAAATCAAAGTGGAGGTGTGCACTTAAACGTGGGGTCTCGGAGAGGTCAGAGGGTGGCCATGCTGGACAAGATGACCCCAGGCTAGAAGGGTACCACAAGACTTGCCGCAGTTCTGAGCTCCCGTGAAGCCACCAGAGGGAAGGACTAGGGAATGAGGGCGACAGGGGTCACTCGGTGACCCCTGTCTCAAGGGAGGAGGGGGACCATACAACAGGGTCCTATCCTCTACTCCAGACCCTGCTGAAGAATTATATGCCCCGGGCGATTCTTCGGTGCAGATGGCTTTCAGAAGCCAAGTGAGATATAATCATGGGAACCGGATGCTTCCCCGGGAGGAAGAGGCTGGGATGGGGGCCCATGTATATAACCTGGGCCAGAGTGTCAGGAATGTCTGACCCTGTCCCCAGACAACAGTCCAGAAGGAAGTGGGGGGCTCCATTCCGTGCCAGCATCATTTGAAATATCAATCAAATAAAGGTAGGATGGGAACACTGGGTGGACAACTTCTAAGGGAAGAGGTCATCTGAAGGACGAGAGTGTCCAAGCCCTGACTAGATTCACTGGGGGAGATATAGAAGCCCACGTCGCAAGGGCAGTAGGAAGACAGCTGCAGAGATATTCAGAGACCCTGTCACCAGCACAGCTCCCTGGAGCGCCTGCTCGGGCCGGGCCCTGGTGCCAGCCATTGCCGAGTGTTTGAGAGTCTCCCAGAAGTCGGGGTGTGGAAGAGCTGCTGCTGTACCCACACCTCTCGGGTCCATCTCTGACCCACATCCAGCCCACTCATTCCCCCAACTCATCCCCCAGTGCGTCCTCTGCTTTCCTCCTCCCGGCCTAAACTCGATTTACCTCTTCTCTGGCCCCCTGCCCGCTTGGGCTTTGGGTTTGACTTTAAGCTCCTTGACTGGTCTGAAAAAAGGAGAATGAAGTTAGTGGACCAGCAGGCAGGGCTGAGTCACGAGGGGAAAGGCACAGAGAAAGGGGTGGGGGGTGGGGGGAATTCCCTCTCAGAAAAGGAGCCTCCACGCAGAGTCCTGGCAAAGTGAAGGCTGATCTTCCACCTACGCTGACCGCCCCGAGACCCGCCCCTGCTCTCCAGATTCAGTGATGAGGTGGGGGAGAGGCTGGGAATGGAGATGAATTAAGGGGAGCAACTGAGTAGGTAGGGCAGGGGAGGAAGCATGCGGGCAGGTGGCTGAGGCGGAAACAGAAACGGGGAGGCTTCAAAGCCACCTTCCTTCCTCCGCGTGCTCCCCAAGCCTGCCCACCCTCCCGTGCCTGCCACACCTCAGACACACCCCTAATTCATCACTCGGGTTCTGGGATGGACATGGAGAGGCGATCCATCCATCCACCTCCTGGGGCGCAGGCCCTCATGGGAGGTCCCGGGGGCCCTTGGCCCATTACCTTCCAAGGGACTTGGGGCGCCGGGCCGAGGCTTTGGCTGCACGCTTCCTCAACTTTCTGTGAGGACAAGACAATAGCGGGGTCAAGAGCTGCCTAGAACTGAGGCCGGTGCAGCTGGAAGTAGGGGCAAGGGCTCTTTACAGAGGATCCCATGGCGGGATGTTAGAGGCAGAAATCCCCAGGCTCTCTCCATCCTCAGGAGCCTGTTACCTGGCCGGAGTACAGCAGAAAGGACAAGGATTGAGTGGACAGGGCCTGACCTAGAACCCACAGGGATTAAGCTAAGAGCGCCAGGGCATGCAGACCTTGGGTTAGTAATCTTGCTGGAGGTAGCAGCCAGGCATCTGGCTCAGGACAGGAAAGGTACATAAAAGGGGGTTTTCGGAGACGAACGAAGGCTACGTGTAAGGAAGAAGAAAGTAACATGGTTAGGGTGACCAGGCTGACCAGGCCAGGGAAGCTAGCTGGCTGGCTCAGGCCCTGGGCAACAGACTGTATCCTTTGTTCTCTGATGTTCTCTGGCTTCTCGACTTTGCCGGTCAGGTCCAAGAACCAAGACTGGCTGCTAGAGATACTGACTTGGTGTGACAAAGGAGCAAGAGGTCAGGCTGCTTAGGGCACGAGCATTGCTTCGGCCCAAGTTAAGCCCCAGATGCTCTGGTCCTTCACACACTGAGCTCATCTCCCAAACTTACTTCGAGGAAAGAATTTCTTAAACCATATAGTTCTTTCATTTAATTGATTTGGGGCCAGTGTTCAAGGGTTCTGGGACAATACTTCGCTCAGCTTTGCAAGCCCAGGGCTCAGTGCTCAGGCACTGTAATGTTGGGGGACCACCAGAGCCAACCTGGTAGTGTTGGGGCACCATGTAGTATTAGGAATCCAACTTAAGTTCTCATGCCTGTAATACCATGCGCCAGCCCGTTGATCTAGCTCCCTGATTCTGCCGAAATTGATTTTTGCTTGTTTTGGGGACACATCCGGTGATGCTTAGAGGTTACTCTGGGCTTAACACTCAGGAGTCACTTCTGGTGGGTTCAGGGGTTTTTAAGAGATGCAGGGATCAAACCCAGGTTGGCTGCATGCAAGGCAAGCACTTACCCACTATACTATCTCTCTGACTCCTCTAACATAGCTTATTATTATTATTATTTGGCTTTTTGGGTCACACCCTGAAATGCTGTTTCTGATTTTTGAGTTCTGATCTTCGTCAACGCTCAAGAATCAGGGACGCTGTCTCATTTGCCAAGACATCAAAAATCAGATGGACTGGACACTAATGAGGTTTACAGACAACCGCTGGACTAGAGCCATTACTGATTGGATTCCACGAGACATCAAAAGATCACGTGGACGCCCACCTATAAGATGGTCAGACTTCTTCGTCAAGACCCTAAATGATCGGTTTGAGGCTCTACATGTTCCTAAAACGAACAGATACCACTGGGCTACGCTAGCACGCAACCGGGATGAATGGAGACGTTACTGGCACCCGCTCGAATAAATCGATGAATAACGGGGATTAAGTGATTAAGTGATTAAGTGACCCTGAAATGCTGAGGGGTTACTCCTGGCGGTGGTCAGGGGACCATATGGGATGCCGGAGATTGAACCCAAGTCAGGTGCGTGCAAGGCAGATGCCTTACCCACTGTACTATCACTCTGGCCCTTCAACCTAGATTTTTAACTGTTGTAAATATTTGACCTGTTTCATTCTTCAAGAAGTTGCTTGCATTTAATGTCTAGAGATCAGGCCTCTTATTCCTTTCATTCATCTTTTGATTTCAAAAACTAATTTTGGCCCTTCTTTGTCCAGTCCAGTGATATATATGAATACAAAGTTTGTCTGTCCTTCTAAGTTTATGGAATTGTTATCGTCTTAGTTATTCTTCCTTGGAACATGTTCCTCTTCTGCTGTTTTTCGGAAAGTCATGCTCTGTATGCAGATGTACTAGGATTTAAACAAACTATTTGGCATTTCCTGCTCTGACTTCTTCCTGAGGATGTACTTAGTGAATTTTTTCCCCAAACATCCTCTATGTCAAACATTTGTAGTGAAGAGTCTACAAATAAGCTCAGGTCCGGAGATTTCTGAGAGTTTGGAATTCTTCATCTTGTGAGCATCATGTAAAACTTTTTCTCTCTTCCTCAAACATATTCAGTATGGAGCCAGAGCAATAGTACTGCAGGAAGGGAATCTGCCTTGCATGCAGCTGACCTGGGTTCAATCCCCAGCATCCCATATGGTCCCCTGAGCACTGCCAGGAGTGAGCACTGCCAGATGTGACCCACAAAGAAAAAAATATCCAATATGAAATATTCTTGGCATTTTTTTCTTGGCCGCACTCTGTGATGCTCAGGGGTTACTTCTGGCTATGCACTCAGGAATGACAACGGGCAGTGCTCATGGGACCAGATGGGTTGCTGGGGATTGAACCCGCGTCAGCTACGTGCAAAGCAAGCGCCCTCCCTACTGGACTAATCCTAAGAGTTGGCAATATTCATTAGCTTAACTCTCTCTGCCCACTCGCCCTCGCCAGCCCTTTCTGTCTTCCCTCCTCTCCCCCACTGTTCTGTGACTTCTCCGTCTTGTCCCTCCTTGGCTACTGTGACATTGCTAGCCTGCCTTGGTGCCTCAAACCCATTGTTCTTGGGTATTTGCAGGTTCCTCTGCTACTTCATCATTTAAATTTCTGAAGATCTGTCTTGGGAGTTAGACTTTTTTCCACTCTATTTTTTTTTTTTAGACACTTTCATTCAACCCAACATGTCACTGTAGGGCTGCTCTGGTGGTGCTTGGCAACAGTGCTCCCTCGGGTGTGCCTGGGGGTCAGAGCAGGTGGAGCATGTGCTCCACCCCTGGGGCTTCTTCCTGCCCACTCTCTGGCCTCCTTGAACTCCTTAGTTATCTATGATGTGGTGCGAGTACAAAATGAAGTCCCAATTATTTCAGCGGAGTCCAGCCCAGCGCCAACTCTCAGTGACCGAATCCCGTCACTGTTACTTCCACAATTGCTCTCCAACCCGGCTCTTCTGCACTTGCCCAAAGCATTAGCCTAAGTGCAGTGACCTCTGGAAACGCTCTTGGACTTGTTACGCTCATTAACAGCCCTCCTTGTTGTACACTTACATAGTTTCTCATAATTTTTATCAGACAGACCCAGTCATTAACAGAGCCTAGGATGTGCCCCAGGATCTTGTGCCTAGCGCTTGGTGAACTGTCAGAGGTCAATAAACATCTGTTGAACTAAAGGAGCGACTTCCTAAGTAGCACTTAAGCTCTCAGTGCCTTAAGTTCTTTATCTATGAAAATAGCAGTAAATGCCTCCATTACTTGTAAATTCTGTCTTTCTTCTAAGATTTGACAGCTCTCATATGTTCTTGGCGTGACACTATCAAATGAAGTTTACACAAGCATTTCCAGGAGTGATCCCTGAGCACAGAGCCAGGAGTAAGCTCTAAACACAAAATCCCTGATCTCATGGACTGGGGACGAATCAGAAAAATAAGTAAATTTTTGAAATGAAGAGTGGCAAAAGGGTGTAATCAATAAAAATAAGGTTAGGAAGTGGGGGCGTGAAGATACGACTCAGTGGCAGAGCACGTGGCTTGCATGCATGAGGCCCTGGGTTCAGTCCCCGGGGCATGGGTGCACACACCCAAGGTTAGGAAGTAGAAATGAGCTTTCAGTTCTTTTGTGGAGGGGGAATTTGGAGCCACATCCTGCAGTGCTCAGGGATGGCCCCCAAGTTGACCTGCTTCAAGAACAGTTCCTAGCCCAGAGATGCCGGATGGCACCACTGGCCTCCCGAGGAGCCGCTGTGCAGTCTCTCAGGGTCTCTTCTCTTCTTCTCTTATCTTCACTGGTCATCCTCCAGCAGCTCTTTCTCCCATCCTAAACAGCTTCTTTGGTGGGGGGAGGGACCCACACCCTGTGACACTTGGGGGACCATGTGGTGCCAGGGTTCACATTGGGGTTCCAGGTAGCACTGCAGCTATCTGAGCATCTCCCGCCCCTAAATGACCCCTAGTTCCTATCTTCTCACACCACACCGACACCCCTAGAAATCCTGCGTGCCCGACTTTCCGCTCTACATAGAATTTGATTTTATGATTCAGATTACAATTTGGTTTTATTTTCCATGACTTTCCTTAGTAATCATGACCCTTCACCTTTTACATTTGATTTCCGGGAGACACTAACATTCTGTCTCCCTATTTCTCAATTCTACTAAATCCCTCATGGTCTATTCTGAACGAAGCAGCCAGTCATAATTGAAAATGGAAGTAACAGGTCAGAGAGACAGGACAGCGGAGAAGGTGCTTGCCTCGCACATGGCCGACCTGGGTCTAATCCCTGGCGCCTCACAGGCTCTCCCAAGTCCCACCAGGAGTGATACTTGAGTGATACCCAACAGTAAACCCTGAGCCCAGGTGGGTGTGGTCCCCCAAAGAAACAGAGAAAGTGGGAGTCAGTTGGAATACCTCTGTTCAAAGACTCTCACAAAGTAAAAGACCCAAATAGTCCCAGCATCTTGTTTTGTTTGGGGGTCACACCCAGGATGCTCAGAGGTTACTCCTGGCTCTGCACTCAGCAATTACTTCTGGAAATGCTTGGGGACCATATGGGAGTCTGGGGTTCAAAGCCAGGTCAGCTGCTTGCAGGAAAACATCTTACCAGCCACACTAAAGCTGCAGCCTCCAAACTTCAACAGATCTTGTTCTCGTTCTTTCCCTACATCCTGCGGAATCATATCCTTTGACAAAGAATGCCTCTTTCCCTTGCCCCATGCCCCCTCTGGAAATGCTCCTCTAGATTTAATGCCCAGCTTGTGACCACACTTTTAATCTTCTCTGAAATGACATCTTCCTGAAGAGGCCTATTTTTTTTTCTTTTTTGGGTCACATCTAGTGATGCTCAGGGGTTACCCCTACCTCTGCACTCAGGAATTGCTCTAGGCAGTGTTGGGGAACCATATGGGACACAGGAGATTGGAAGGCGGGTGTCAGCCGCAAGCAAGGCAACCAAGGCAAACGCCCTACCTGCCCTACCCACAGTATTATCGCTCCACCCCAAGAGGCCTATTCTAATCACTCTATTTAAAACTGCATCCCCTTGGGGCCCAGTTAACCCCTTGACCGGTAGTACAAGAGTTAAGGCACTGATTTGCATGCAGCTGAGGGATGTGCGCCATCCCTGAGCACTGCAGGATGTGGCTCCAAATTCCCCCTCCAAAAAAGTACTCCTGAAACCTCATTTCTACTTGCTAACCTTGTGTGTGTGCACCCATACCCCGGGGACTGAACCCAGGGCCTCATGCATGCAAGCCACGTGCTCTGCCACTGAGTCATATCTTCACGCCCCCACTTTCTAACCTTTTTATTGATTACACCCTTTTGCCACTCTTCATTTCAAAAATTTACTTATTTTTCTGATTCGTCCCCAGCCCATGAGATCAGGGATTTTGTGTTTAAAGCTTACTCCTGGCTCTGTGCTCAGGATCACTCCTGGAAGTGCTCAGGGTGTGCTTGGGTTGGCTGTGTCCAAGTGCTGCTGTACCATCTCTCCGGCCCTGTGATCAAGTGCTTTGGTCTCTTGTGCTCAGCACTGAATCCCTAGTGTCTACACAGTGTCTGGCACATAGTAGGTATGCAATAAAGATCACACAAATGAATCTACCCTGCTGTTTATGCTAGCCTCTTTACTTGTAATACCTACTATTTAAATCTCACAAATCTTTCAGAACCTGGTATTTAGAATAGGGCAGTTACAGAGTGCTCGAGCGGGCCCAGTAACGTCTCCATTGGAGACTTTGTTGTTACTGTGTCTGGCATATCCAAAACACAGAGAAAGGAATACAACCTCAAGACAGATCAGAGTAAAGGAGCACAGCACCTAGCTGTTCTAAAATAGTTTGAGTCTCTAGATACAATATTTGATCTTGAAGCTGAAAGAACTTTCAGATGGTGTCTCAAAGCCAATGGAGAGAAAACCTGATCACATATGTAAAAACCTGGAAGTTGGATAATATACTGACTTTCAAACAGGTCCACACGGCATAGCCTGGCAAGCCACCCGTGATGTATTCGATATGCCAAACACAGTAACAACAAAATCTCCAATGGAGACGTTACTGGGCCCGCTCGAGCAAATCGATGAACAACGGGAGGGCCTTTACCTTTACCTTTACCTTTCAAACAGTGTAAAAAAAAGTATGTTATTTCTTTCTAAAAAGAACATATAAGCAAGTAGTATTTGAGAATGTCATGAAACAGGAAGTTTGTGAACTGTTTTTTGTTTTTGCTGGGTGGGGTTGCTGATGGTGCCAATGCTGGGAGTGTGTGTGGGGGGTGTTATATCTGGTAGTGCTAGGATTGCCATGTGGTGCCAGGGATCAAACCTGCAACCCTGTGCATGCCAAGCATGTTACTCCAGCCCTTTGAGCAATCTTCCTGGCCTGAAAGTTCATGAACACTCGGGGGAAAAATATGATGATCCTTAGACCTTATAAAATGATATTAAAGATCCTTATAAAACAGTAAACAGTTCAGTCAAGCCACCGTGATTTCTTTTTCTGGTAAGATTACTGAGCTGGAGGGCTGAAGCATGACTGTGAACATAGGTTATCTTAATTTTTAGCAAAGACAAAAATCTCCCAGGATTTAATTACAGCCAAGATGGTGAAATAACAGTTACATCATGACAGTGTCCATTTTGTTCCCAATCGGCTGGGAGAAATTTTTTTCAAAGCTATTGATTCAAAACTTGATGTTCACCAAGAGGGAAATTTCCTAAGAACTAAACCTTGTTTTTATAAAAATATTTCAATCGTTTCAACGATTTGATGAAGCCGAAAGGCAGAATAAGCACTGTATCAGTCGAGCAGCGGCGGCTGAATGACAAATGGAAAAACGTGAACTCAGGGTTCAGTTCAGCTCGGGCTGCGGGTCTGTTTCAGCTCTTGCGGTACAGTTAACTGGGCAGGGGGAAACCACCGGGTGGTGGGAGAGGGGAGAAGGAAGCGTCAGGGGCCACCCCGGGGCCTCACCCCGTGCAAAGCTCGACCCCTGGGCAGCACTTCCCAAGTCGGGGCCGGTCGGTGGGCAGCCTGCCCCGCGGACCTCGCGCAGACGCGCCCAGCGGCCAGGGCCGGCGTCTCCCTGAGCGCCCCCGCCCAGTCACCTCCGGCCCCGGCGCCGCCCCGCGCGCGCCCGCTCCGGCCCGCGACCTCGCGCCGCACGGGGCGTGGCCTCGCGAGCCCGGCGCGCGCCCCCGCCGAGTCACAGGCCGCAGCTCCGGCCCCGCGCGCGCCCGCTGCTGCCCGCGACCTCGCGCCGCACGGGGCGTGGCCTCGCGAGCCCGGCGCGCGCCCCCGCCGAGTCACAGGGTTCGGCTCCGGCCCCGCGCGCGCCCGCTCCGGCCCGTGACTTCGTGACGCACGGGACGTGGCCTCGCGAAACAGGCGCCCGGCCGCCTCGGGCGCGCCGGGATCCGGCTCTCCCGGGTTCCGTTTCCCAGGGCTCCGCTACGGTCTCCTAGCTCCCCGGCCCCCTACCCCCCACCCCGAGGCCCCCGAGGCCCCGGGCACGGCGCTCGCCCCGCCCCCGCGCCCCTCACCTGTAGAAGGCCGCGTTGACCCTCTTCTCGCTGGGGAAGCCCAGCATCCCGCACACCACGTGGCTGTTGTGGGCGCTCCAGCCCTTGTCGCACACTTGGGACCAGCCGTCGGGGAGCCTCACTTCCACGAGCCCCTCGGTGACGGGCAGCGGCCGTCGGCCGCGCCCCACCGCCGGCCGCAGTCGCACCTCCTCCACCTGCAGCTGCTGCTCCACCTGGGCAGGGGCACCGCAAGCAGAGGAAGGACTCCAGCGGCAGGTCTCGCCGGGCCTGCTCAGTGCTCAGTGGCGTGCTCAGTGCTGGGTGGACTCAAGCCGTGGGGAGGGGGTGGGGTGGGGAGCCAGGGAAGAGCCCTGCCGTGCACCCCAGAAACGACCCAGGGCGCGGAGGAAGCTGCGCATGCGTGGAGCTGAGGAGCACTTGACAGGAGAGGTGCGACATCCCAGGCTGCCCTGGCGACCAGGGAAGAAGTTGGTCGTGTGCCAGGTTCAGGAACCTGCATGCTAATGGGAGAACGAATCTGGACTTAACCAGGCCTGACCTTGCTTTGTGTATCACTTTTGGGTATCCGCCCCGTTCAAACCCCCTCCCCCCGCCCCCATCTGATCCCAAAGGGGCAAATGGGACCTATGTTTTCTAGCATATCCTTTAACCACATACAACCATCCAAAGGCTCCTCTCTCTCTGTCTGGGATGGGGGGAGGACAGCGTGTAGTTAGACACAGTTGTGCTCAGGGCTTACTCCTGGCTCTGTGCTCAGGGATCACTCCTGGCAGTGCTCCGGGAACCATGTGTGGTGCTGGAGATTGAACCTGGGTCTGCCTGCTGTACAATGGCTCCAACCCCCCACCACAGTCCTCTCTGGCTGTGGGGTGTGTGTGTGTGTGTGTGTGTGTGTGTGTGTGTGTGTGTGTGTGTGCTGCAGACCTCAATGACGTTGGAGTCCGAGAAGCCAGGGAGCCGCTGGTCCTTGCAGATGACCCCTGCGTCCTCATCGTGGGTACAGTCACTGTTCCCCCAACCCCGGGAGGCACATTCAGTCACACTCTGCTCAGTCCCACTGCAGCTAAGGTTGTCCAGCCAGATTCTGCCTGTGGAGGGAAAATGAGCTGACAGAACGACCTGGGGAAGGGTGTGTGTGTGCACGTGTGTGTGGCAGTGGCTGGGAGTGAGCTTGGTGGCCTTACACTTGTCTCATCTTTTCCTCATAAGATGATGGGTGAAGAAGGGATGGGGAACTGTAGAAGGGGACAGGAAAGGAGGCATAGGATGGATGTAGGTGATGATCTGGGTGATACTCAAGAATTTGGTGATAAATGAGAAAACCAAGATGTCCTGATTGGTCCTCCTGCATTCAGTGATAAGTAATGCTTGACCAAGTATTTGCTGTATATTAGCCACTTTTCTGGGATATAATATGGGCTATTTCTCAAAAAAAGAGCTGCCGGGAATTATTACCATTTTACATAAAGATACCCTGGCATAAAGCCAGGAGTAAGCGCTGAGTACCACCAGGTGTGGCCCCCAAACCAAAATCAAGGCAAAAAAGACATTGGTCCAGGGAGAAATGAAGTAACTTGCCTAATTAAGACAACATAGCCAATACCTAGATTCCTGGGGATTGGAGCCATGTGTGAGATGTGGAAACCTTAGCAATTTCCACCACAGCCTTTTAGTCTCCCGTGGACCACCCCCTCTGCTGCCATATTGTCTCTAGTTCTCTCTGCCTGCATCTTTGAAAATGAATACTACTGAATTCCTCTCACAATTGGGTAGGCTCTCAAAGGTAATTTTTTTCCAGTCAGTGTGCAGAGACCCCACATGCATGGCCTGGTTGGACCAGCTTCTGCTGAGACATCAACCTTATGGCTCTTCAGGCTGACAGAACCACCATGAAGTCCTTGTAATATTTATTTATTTATTTAGGTTGTTTTTTGGGTCACACCTCGCAGTACTCATGTTACTCCTGGCAGGCTTGGGGAACATATGGATGCCTGGGATTGAACCTGGGTCAGCTACATACAAGGCCAGTGCTCTACCTGGTGTACTATCGCTGAGGTCCTGCTTGTGATAATTTATGGACCCTTTACCCCCTGCCACTCCAGGTTTTATTATCCCTTGATGCCAGCAGAAAAATTCCTTTGCCACATGACTGTTCTCATATTTGAAGACAACTATCTTTGTCCTCATATTTGAAGATAACTATCTACTTGATAATCAAGGTTTTAAAAAACTATCTCAGACATCTCTGATTTCTTCAGTGATTTCCCCTTGAAACTTGTCATCTAAAAGTATTTCTGAGTTTGTGAGTCTGTAACTGTACCTCATGTGATTAATGGTGATTCACTAAAAAAAATTTTAAAAAGGGGGTTGGAGTGATAGCACAGCAGGTAGGGTGTTTGCCTTGCACGCGGCCAACCTAGGTTTGAGTCCCAGCATCCCATATGGTTCCCCCAAGCACTGCCAGGAGTAATTCCAGAGTGCGTGAACCAGAAGTAACCCCTGTACACTGCCAGGTGTGACCTAAAAGGCAAAAAATGGGGCTGGAGCGATAGTACAGTGGGCAGGCCTTGCATGCGGCTGACCCAGGTTTGATTCCCAGCATCCCATAAGGTCCCCCAAGCACCGCCAGGAGTAATTCCTGATTGCAGAGTCAGGAGTAATCCCTGTGCATCGCCGGATGTGACTCAAAAAGTAAAAAAAAAAAATTAAAAAAAGTACTTCTGTTTTAAGAGGTGTCTTTTAAAACATGGTGGCATCTAGAGTCTGAAATGACAGTACAGTGGGTAGGGCATTTGCCTTGCATGTAGCCAACCCAGGTTCAATCCCCTGCATTCTATATGGTCCCCAGAGCACTACCAGGAGTAATTCCCGAGTGCAGCACCAGGAATAACAGCCTGAGCATCTCTGAGTGTGGCCCCCAACCACTTCCCCCCCAAAAAATTGGCATCTATGATGATACTTTTGAATTAGGGAATCAACTTCAGTCTATACCAGCTACTATTCATCAATCCCACCTTGGGATTTTACAGTGCTAGCACCCTCCCAGTTAGAATTTCTCCTCTGCTCTTATTACTCACATCCATTCTTATCCTAGAGTTTATACTTGTCCCAAGTCAGTTCCAGTTTCATTGGTTCTCTCTTGATTCTTCTGGCTTGGAGCTTCCCAGTGAATACTACCTCCCTCTCAACTGTCCTCAACTCCGACCATGTTCCAACTGTATGAGAATCTCTGGTATCAGGGCTACCCTAGCAAATCACTCTTTTGTAGCAGAAGGAACTTGGAGATTATCTGGTCATTTGTTCCCAGGGCACCTGAAATTCAGGTAAACCACTGACCAGCCCCAGGTCACAGAGCTCTGAGAAGGGTCTGTGTTGATGGCTTTCTTACCCATGAGTTTCTCTGACACTGGCTGCTCTTAGGGTCCTGTGTTCCTCCGGCTGTGCCCTCTGGTTTTCCTCTCCCTGTGCTCAGGCCATACCTGGGCTACCTCTGGATCCCAGACGTTGCTCACCTGTTCCAGGGCCGTATTTGGCACTGTGGGTCCAGCCTGTCGCTTCTGTGAAGCCCAGCTCCCGGCAGAGGATATGGGCAGACTGCAGTGTGAAATCATCGTCACAAATTGTGCCCCATTCCCCAGCTCGCTGTATCTCCACTCTGCCCTCGAAGGGCTTCCTGGGGAAGCCCGCCAGCCGGAAGCGCAGCCCCTGGCTCCCAGCCCTCTTCACGGGGGCCGTGGATGGGGTCGGAGAGCCCAGACACGAGCTGTACAGCAGGTACAGCCACAGTCCCAGCGGGCTCCACTGCCAGGCACTTGCAGGCCGCATGGCGGGGCAGCCTGGGTGTCCCTGAGAGAGGGAGAGAGAGAACAACTGAGCCAGGCTCCCGAGGCTGAGAGTGGCCTCACCACAGGATTTACTCAGAGTGCAGAATCCTGTCAGCCCCTCCTAGTCTGGATTCGCAAAGCTGATGTTCTGAATCAAGTTTAGGATTTCACATTTATTCATCAATCATATCCTGCTCAGTGGTTAGTTTTTATTCTGATTTTTTTTTTACTCTACACTGCTTGAAATTATTTAGTGATTTTTATATATAAAAATCACTAAATGATTTTTATATATGTGTGCTGATCATTAATATACTACTTTAGACAGTGCAGACATATTTTGATTATGGTAAGTGGAAAGAAAGCGAGACACACACATGGAGAGAGAGAGAGACAGAGACAGAGACAGAGACAGAGACAGACAGAGACACAGAGAGAGAGAGACCCTTGTAGGGATTAACATCAGTGACAGAGAAACAGTTCAGAGCAGAAGCATAGAGGCAAAAAGAGGTGCAAGTGGAGAGAAGAGGAGGACTGCAGGGGGAGGGAAGATAGACGGACAGACAGACATGCTCTCTGCAGAGGGAGGGAAGACAGATGGACAGACAGACATGCTCCCTTCTACTGTGAAAAACCAAACTCTGGCGATGAGTTGTGATACATCCTGCTCTGCTGTCATACCCATTCCCAATCACCCCTTCTCCTCTGAGACCCGGAGATCATAGGACAGTGATTAGAGACCAAGAGTCCTAGATAGAGAGGCTGAGCCAGCCAGACAGGATGTGAGTGTGGGATGAGGGGAGCCAAACAGAAGGGAAGGGCCGGGAGAGGAGGACGATGGGGACAGTGTTGGAGACCGGACGGGCGCGTGGGGGCAGAGGCAGCCAACAGTTGAGCAGAGGGGTGAGGGAGCCGATGGGGAGTGATCCCCGAGGTGGCACAGACCTAGGGAGAGGCAGCTGCGGGGCGCAAGGGAGCCCCTCGGACCTCAGGTCCTTAAATGGGAGCCCGGCCCAGAGTCCTCTGCGCAGAATCCGAGGCGGAGCGGGCAGAGCGCTCAGGCTCTCTATACCCGGTGAGGTCGGGGGGGTGAGGGGGCACCGGGCCTCAAGCTGGGGTACGTGGGAGGGGGATGGGTCAGGGTGGTCCCAAGCGCCCCTGCCAACATGGCCATTGCTGGCACCGGCAACGAGAGGCCCCGGTACAGATCAGCTCCTCAGCCCAAGCCTCCCCTTGTCCGAGAACAGCCCGTGCTCTGCGGGGGCCTCCCCGCCGTCCCACATGCTCCCCCGACTCCCGCACACCAGCCCACCGGACACTTGAGCGCGGTAGCCCTGGAGGAGGGCCTCCCCGGGGAGCCCCGCCGCAGGACCACCCAGCTGCCCCGTCTGCTGCGCTCTGCGGGACCCCTACCCGCGAGCCTCGGGCATGTGGCTGACAGATTAACCCTGGGGGCTCCACCCCGACGCGCCCCTCCTCACGGTCCCCCATCCCGACTCCCAGTCCTCCCGCAGAGCGCGCTCCCTACCTTTCACGGAGCGGGGCCCTGGGGCTGGGAGGCCAGTCCAGCTCCTGGAGGCCAGTCCCAGGACTGCCACCAAAAAGTGCTCGGCCAGGGGAGACTGGACCCCCGTCGCTCCCCCCGGTCCGCTCGGCCCTCCCACGGCCCCTTGAGCCCTCCCACATTCCGCCGTCCCCTCATTCCTCCCGGCCAGCTCCCCGCTTGTCCCCGCCCGGCCCTCCCCTCCCCCGAGGAGCCGGCGGCCGGCGCCCCACCCCCGCCCGCCCCCCGCCCGCCCCCCCGGACCTCAATGAAGCTTTCTTTGCGGGCCGGCCGGGAGGCCCCGGGCGCTGGCGGGCTGGGGCCAGGCGGCTGCCAGGCTCGGGGGCCCCGGAAGCCTTCCAGACCCGGACCCCCTCCCCCACGGCCCGCCTCGGCCACTGCAAACGGCCCCAGTGCGGCGGGGCTGGGGGGCGGGGGGAGGATGCAGGAGAGGGATCCGCGGCCACGAGGACCCTTGCGGACCCCCAGGCTGCAATTTCGAGGGGACGTCACGGCTTGCATTCACTCTGATGTCACGTCGGGCATATGACGTCGCGCGCGGGCACGGGGCCCTCCGGCCCAGACTTCCAGGATTCAGTCGGTGACGCCACTGGTGCGCGTGTCAGAGATGTGGGCAGGAGTGTGGAGGGGGCGCGTCGCCCAGCCTCGCGGGGGACCCTTCCCCTGGGCTCGCGCGCCCCTCCCGCCGCGCCCGGCAACGCCCCCGGGGTCCGGGCCCCGCCCCGCCCCGCCCCCGCCCGCAGGGCCAGGAAGCGCGGAAGGAGCCGCCGGGGGCCATGGACGGGGCGGTGATGGAGGGGCCGCTCTTCCTGCAGAGCCACCGCTTCGGGACCAAGGTATCCGGCCCGGGGGCTGCCGAACCCCGGCGGGCCTGGGGCGGGGGGCGACGCCGGCGCCCGGGCGGCGGGAGGGTGCGGGCGGCGGGTGGGAGCGCCCCGGGACGTTTGCCGAGTGGCGTGGCACGCGCGGGAGACGCGTCGGGCGGCCCCGGGGACGCGCCTTGGAGCCCCGGGGTGGCGAGGGGCTTCCTCCCGTCGGAAGCACTCGCGCCGCGCCTCTCGTTCTCGCCGCAGCGATGGAGGAAGACCTGGGCGGTGCTGTACCCCGCCAGCCCCCACGGCGTGGCGCGGCTTGAGTTCTTTGACCACAAGGGCCCGAGCGGCGGCGGGGGCCGCGGGGGCTCGCGCCGCCTGGACTGCAAGGTGATCCGCCTGGCCGAGTGCGTGAGCGTGGCCCCCGTGGCCGTGGACAGCCCCCCGGAGCCCGGCGCCTCCGCCTTCCGCCTGGACACGGCGCAGCGCTCCCACCTGCTGGCGGCCGACGCGCCGTCCAGCATGGCCTGGGTGCAGAGCCTGTGCCGCAACGCCTTTCCGGTGAGGGGGCTGCGGCCACCCGCGCGGCCCGCGGGACGGGGCAGTTACGGCGGCGGAGGAAGTGGGCTCCCGGATCGTGGGAACTGCGTGGCGGGGATTACAGGCTTCTCGATACTTTCTCTTTACCCCAGAAAGGCAGCTGGGCTCAGGTGCCTGCCCAGAACCCGCCCAAGCTTTCCGCCCTGGAGATGCTGGAGAACTCGCTATATAGCCCCACCTGGGCAGGTAGGACTCAGGCTGGAGGGGGTGGAGAGGAAGGGCGCCCTGGAGACGGGTACTCAGAGGGGCCGGGCCCCACGGGGAAGTAGGAAGCTCCTGTGAGCTTCCTGTGGCACACCGCAGTCAGCCGGCCCCTGGCCCGAAACTTCTTGGACAGTGTGTCTGCCTCCCCTTGGCCCCAGCCCCGCCAGGGACCAGGCGCCGGGGGCCGGCTGACCGCTCTGTCCTTTCAGAATCCCAGTTCTGGGTGACGGTGCAGAGGACCGAGGCGGCGGAGCGCTGTGGCCTGCAGGGCTCCTACGTGCTGAGGGTGGAGGCCGAGAGGCTGACCCTCCTGGCGTCCGGCACGCACGGTCAGCTCCTGGAGCCGCAGCTCTCCTGGCCCTACACTCTGCTGCGACGCTATGGCCGCGACAAGGTGCCGTGTGTGCGGGTGGGGTGGGCAGCGGGCCAGGACAGGAAGGTGGGCAGGTCTGGTCTCTGGGTAACCTCTCGCTGCCTAGCTCAGGCCCCTGCCTTTGCCCCTGGTGGTTTGGGTAGGGGTGGCTGGTGAGTCCCCTAATTTCAGCCCCTGTGAGTCATCTCTAACGGACTTTCCGCCACCTCCTCTTCAGGTCATGTTCTCCTTCGAGGCTGGCCGCCGCTGTCCCTCGGGCCCCGGAACCTTCACCTTCCAGACAGCACAAGGAAACGACATCTTTCAGGCAGTGGAGACCGCTATACAGCAGCAGAAGGCCCAGGGAAAGGGCGCGCAGGAACAGGACGTGCACCAGGAAGGAGAAGTGGCAGAGGGGAAGTTGAATTCCCCCACGGGCCCCCAGGAGCCCCGGGGCAGCCCTCTGGTCTTGTATGCTGAACCCTTAGACTCCTTGCGCGTCCCTCCAGGTCCATCTCAGGACTCCCTCTACTCAGACCCCCTGGACAGCACCCTGGCCCGGGCGGGAGAGGGCACCCACGTCAAGAAACCGCTCTACTCGGACACGTACGCGCTTGTGCAGCAGCAGTTGCTGAAGGCCAAGCTGAAGGACGCCAGAGAAGACCCCATCTACGATGAACCTGAGGGCCGAGCCCCCATTACTCTCCGGGGCCTCTATGACCTGCCTCAGGAGCCCAAGGATGCTTGGTGGTGCCAGGCGCGGGTAAAGGAGGAAGGCTACGAGCTCCCCTACAACCCTGCCACTGATGACTACGCCGTGCCCACCCCTCGGGGCACCAAGCCGCTCCCAGCCCCCAAGCCCCCACGTCCTGCCTTTGCTGCGGCAGCGGGTGGCAGAGGACAGGGCACAGATACTCCTCTGTACAGCCAGGTCCAGAAAAGTGGCACCCCTGGGAGCTGGGACTGTGGGCTCGCGAAAGCAGGGACCGACGGGACCGGGGTCAAGTCGGAGGGCTCCACCTGAGAACCATGCCAGCTTGGGGTTGCTGGGAGAAGGACCCTCTGGAGGTGGCACTAGGGGCCACTGTGACCTGAGGTGCACCATGGGGTGTCCGTAGGCTGAAGTGTCCGTGTGAGATAGGGGGCCCAAGGAGGTCAGGGAAGTTAATGATCAGGGAGAATGATCCAGCCCAAGAAGGCTCAGAAGAGGGACAGACAGAACAGGAATCTAGGGAAGAGCCCCTGCCCCTGACTCATCCAGGTCCCCCTCCATCCTTGCTGGACAGATGTGTGGGAAGGTGCAGTTAAAGGGACCTGGCCAGAGGCTCTGGGGAAATGGGAACTGTGCCGGATTCTAGCCCCTGCATTGAAGATACAGTAAAGATTCCAGAGATACAATAATAGAGCTGCTTTGAAATTCTCATTAAAGCTTGGATTGAAGAGTTCGGTGTGTTTGAGAGTGGGGCACCCTATGTCTGTCGTGTGTGAAGGGGACTGGGCAGGGAGCAGGAATGTGGGCACAGGGAGGGAGCAAGGGGCCCTGAGGAGGCAGAGTGGTGGTGCAGAGAAGCCATATCCCACCAGTGTGCCCTGGCAGAGTCGTCTGATGACTCAGGCCCTTCTGTAAAGTGAGAGAGGGGAAAACAGGTTCTCCCTCGCAGGGCAACAGTATGAAAGGTGTTAAATGTCTCATGTTATTAGTGCCACCTGAATCACTGTCCTGTGTAGAGAGTTGGGAAGGGAGGGAATGTAGGACTTTTTCACATAATCTAACCCCTGTTCTCATCTCTTTCATTCCCCCTCCTGCCCGCCACAGTCGACACTCATGCATACACTTTGCATGCAAGTATGCAGCCAGCTCTTTCTGTGTGGATCTGGAAGGAAACTGTCAGGGACTGTGGGAGTGGTGGGAGGGGCTGGGCTTTGGACTGAGGTTTGGATTTCAATCCTGCTCATTTTTCATGGGCTCTGAAAACCTCATCCTTGTCTCCCGAGGCCCAGCTTCCTGAAGGTGATCCGACCTTACCCACCTGTTCACACTCTACATGGAGAAATTCAGGGTTGGGCACGGTCTTACAATGATGGAGGCTTACTGGGCGTTTAATCTTTATCTGTGTTAACAGTATCAAATGAGCAACTAGCAAACTGGAGTCTGTTAGGAGCAGGAAAGGCTCAGGTTACTCTCGGAGGGTCTGAGGTGGTGGCTGCTGCTTCCCAGGGCAGGGCCCTGTGCTCACAGACTCTGGTGAGGCTCATTGTGGGGACCTTAGCGTGGGTGTTGGTGATAGAGCAGGCAGAGGGGTGCCCAATGCTGTTGACCAAGGGCCCTCACACATACTCCTCTTGTTCCTCCTCCTCCTCCTCTTCCAGAGGTCTGGAGAAGGCTTCTGAGGACGCTCTGCTGGCTGCTGACTTCTTGGGGGTTCTGCCAGTGGCTGGAATTACAGGCAAGGGGGCCACCGTAGCGCGAACTCGGTTCATTGGCAACTGCTTAGTCTGCAAGGCAAGCAAGCAGAGCCTTTGCTGAAGCCAGTCCCAAAGTCTGGAGAAGTCTGGAGAAAACCTCCAGCCCATGGTAGTGATGGAGTCCCCTGGCTTCTGAGTTCTGAATCCCTCTCCCAGCTAGCTAACCATTATGAGCTCTGCTAACCACCCAGGTTGATTGTAGTTTGAAAACATTGTTCAGCTAAAACAACAGGGGAGTTTCCCTAGAGGCTGTTACTGAGAAACTATGAACATGTGAGTAAGGGCAATATTACAAAGTTCAGATCTCATAAAAACCAAACATGTGAGTAAGGACAATATTATAAAATTCAGACCTCATAAAAATCGCTGTCCACTTTCACTAAACCTGGAGTTAACCTGCCTCGGTTTCCCTTTCTTTTCTGTAAAATCAGAATAATAACACATACCTTGCAGGGATGCCGAGAAGATTAAGTGAGAAAAATAGGTGTGAAAACATTTGTCAGAAACCTGACAAATGATTGCTACTCAGTAAGGTTAATTTTCCTCCCCTTGGGCATTTCTTTTCCCAACCTTCCATTCAGTCTTTTCCTTCAAAGAGAGGACTGTGGTTATGATTCAGTGCAGCCAGTTTGCTAAGTGGTCTATTAAATAACTAATGAGTTATCATAAACATTACAATTAGGATACCTAAACATTATCCTATGTAAATGCACAAGCCACAGAGCCAGACCTACTGGGAAAGGTCTTGACTGCTTTTGTTTAGGGCAAAGGACCAGCTCTTTATTTTCTCCCTTTGGCTTGGTTCTTCCCCCACCAGGGGAGATCCAGCGGAGGGCCATTCCCTTGTGGGGGTGTGGGGAACTGGAGCATGGAGGGAGGGGGAGCTGCAAGAGGGAAGGAGGGTAGATGTACCTTTCGCTGGGTCTTGCTTTCCCAACTTGGGTGCAGCCTCCCGTGAGGCTTGGCAGAGTTGCTGCCCAGGTGTGGGTATAGGTGGCTCTGAATCTGCAAGGGATTGTAGCTGGGCTCTAGTTCCAAGGCATCCAGCATGCTCTGGAAAAGAGAGAAGTTCCACCAGATGTCAGGCAGAGACATCACCCCCGGAGGTAGGAAGACCCTTGGCTCCCTTGGAGGCTGTGAATTAGGTGTTCTGGCCCCCAGGTCTGAATCCTGGGGGGGGGGGGAAGTGGAAGAGAGAGTAACCCCGAGTGATAAGGAACATTAACTACTTTTGCTCCCCTTCCCCCCAAGTGAGGGGCAGACAGGGCACAAAGGGGTCCAGTGTTTGCCGGCTGTGGCCTGAGGGTGCCCAGTCTGCGAGTACAGGCCGCATAAGCAGAGGACACAGGAGCCCTGCATTCCTGAGCTGTCAGGTTTTCCGGCCACAACATCCTGTGCCAGGAACGGTTGGCCCCGGAGTGAGACGCTGAGCGAGCCACACCGCTGGTGCCCACCTCTCTCCACCTCTCTCATCCCTGTGGCTGCTGAGCTGAGAGCACAATCCCGAGCTCTGTCCTCTCCACGCCGAGCCAGCCCTCCGCCAGCGACAGTGCCCAGCTCCCCTCACAGACTGCCCAGCCCGCAGAGGAAATCCAGAATCGAGATCCAAGAAAAGAGGAGAAAACGGCCTTCAGAGCTGTTCCTCCTTTTGCATCTCAGTTTGAAGACTTCCTACCTGGGGACATCTGAAAGACAAGCTTTTCTGGCTTTCCTTGATAAGCAGAAAAAGATGCTCATGTGTTTATGTACACAGCTGCACACTGTAGAGAAAGACCCCCAAGAAAATACCATCACGCTATGTTTATTTCAGCGCCCTTCTGCTTCCTTCTCTACTCTTCACCACTCGCCTGGGATCCCCTTCTTCCTCCTATTTCCTGTATCTCCCTCAGGGCTGTTTCTTCTCTCATCCCTTTCTCCAATTCCGTTCTCTTGTCTCTCCTCTATCTGTCCCAGGATCTGGGCTTCACTTGCCTCCATGATCTTAAGGCTGTCATCAGGGGGATCCTCAGGCAGCAGGGGGAAGGGGTTGGGCAGCATCAGTTCCCGGGTGGCCACTGGCTTCACCAGCAGAGTGGCTGAGTGCGATGGCACAATGACGTAGAAGGTGCTGGCGGACTCTCGGAGGCCGTGCCCCTGACTCTGGAGTTCCCCTTTGGCCAACAGCAGCCATTCTCTTTTCTGAAACAAGGACATACACAAATTGCTGAAGGTCAACCCCAGCTGAGATTTCCCTGAGTTTCTCCAGGAGTTATCAAGGAGGGCTGAACCGCTTCAGCCCAGCCCTAGGGAAAGGCAGGAACTTCCTGCCTGAGCCCTCAGTGCCCCATCTTCCTCCCTGGTCAGGGACGTTCACCCAAGGATTAACAATGCAGAGAAAAGTTCAGAGATGCCCTGTAACTTGAAGCAAGCATGTACTCCAGTGTGATGGGGGCTGGGGGATGCTATATAGGAATTTAATCTGTTACATGGTGGGATTTTGAAGAATATTTGAATGTTGCACAGAAAAATTATGACTCCTAAAACTTTAATCTATTGATTTTGAGACAAGAGCTAAGAATCTGGTAGAGAATTGCAGATAGGAGAAAGGTCTTTCAAAAGTAACCCTAGTGCCAGGGCTATCAAAAGAGATTCAACTGAATGATTCTTACAGAACTCTTTGAAATTGCCTGGCATATTTACAGCGGCTGTGGGAGGTTCTGAAGGAAGAGCATCAATGCATTCTGATTAGACTTTGATAAAGACATTACTTTATCTGCAGTCCGAGTTACAATTAAAGAAAGTGAAAGATAGGGACAAACTTTGAGGCTCCTGTTGCAGACACAGTTTCTAACTCTTTCCTGGAAAGTGGCTGTGTGGCGCTGAAGAGCCTCAGAGTCCAGGCCCAATGCTGAGCACAATACTCAAGTCCTGGCTGACTGGGAAAATTAGAGACAGAAGCGGAAAACTAGAGGCAGGACCTCTGAGTGACTCGTTCTAGAAACTGCGCAAAGACTGCAAAAGAGGCGCAAGGAGAACAGAACAAGAGAGCAAGTCACATAAGGTTGCTAGAGCAGGAATGGAACAAGGTCACCGAAACAATAGGAAAACCAATTGTATAAGCATTGAATATGTTAGATGAAAATGTTTCCCTAGAAACGCGTCTAGATTATATCGCTCTTTGTGACCAGCTCCAGCACAACGCCTTTGTGGCAATAGCCAGATCGAGTCTGCGTGAGTAATTAAAACTGGGTGGCCTCCCTCTACTGCTTGGGCACCGCCTGTTTCTTGGTCAGATTTCTGTAACACTACCTTTGCCATAGTTGGTGTCTGGAACTGAGAAGGAAAATTCACATGGGAAAAAAGAAGACTAAATTAAAACATAAAAATGCAAAAAGAAGAAAATTTAAAAATTAGCTATTTTTACTCTATTAGAAATGAAATAGAGTAGGAAAACAATAAAGGAAATAAAAATCAGTTCTCTGAAAAGAAAATTGACAGGCTTTTAGCTAAACTAATTAAGGAAAAAGGAGAACATTCAAGTGACTACAATCAGATGAAAGAGAAAATCACTATTGATCTTGCAGAAATTAAAAGGATTACAGGGAAAATTATAAAAAAATTTATGTTGAAAGACGTTATAACTTAATAGGACATATATCTAGAAAGACACAAAATGACTGCGACTGACTCAAGAATAAGCAGAAAACCTAGAATTATCTCTAGGTGTTTCCCAAAGATCATTCCCAGGTTCAGTCATTTGCTAAAAGAACTCACAGGACTCAGTACTAAATTAACTTACTATGACAAAAGGATGTGAAGCAAAATCAGCAAAGGGACTTGGCTCAGAGGGTGAAGGCACAAGGAACTAGGTACAAGTTTCTAAATTTTCTACTTATGAAGTCACATAGAATGTCCCTAATTTTTCCACACTGAATTGTAAGAATATGTTAAAATATTTGCCTGAAGTCACGAGCAACTCCATGTCCAGTATTTTTGTTAGGGGAGATCATGTAGACACTCTGTATCTACCTTGTACCAAAATGTCACAGTCCTAGAAAAAAACCACAAACCACAGGTGTGTGTACATGCATGTACATGTGCAGTTAAGGCAAGTAAACCACACATTATTTAGGGAATGGTGGGAACACTCCTCAAATCCAAGTTCCCAGACTCTAGTCAAGAGTCAACTTTGTAACCCAAAGTTTCTATGGAGATCAATCTCTGCCCTGCTACTTACTATCCTGTATAACCTATTACAAATAGAGATAATAATCAGAAAACTTCCCTCAAAGAAAAGTCAAGATTCTGAGAGAGAGAGCTCAGTGCTTTTCATATGGGAGGCCCGAATTTGATCCTTGGCACTGTGTGGTCCCCTGAGCACTGTTAGGAGTGACCCCCTCCAAAAATTGATTATAAATGCACTGCAATGTTTTGTTTTCTGTTATAGTCATACCTGGTGATGTTTAGGGTCTACTCTTTTGTTTGTTTTGTTCTTGAGACACACCAGGAAGTGCTCAGACGTTACTCCTGGTTCTCCACTCAGGGATCACTCCTGGCAGGTTCACGGGACCATATGGGATGCCGGGGATTGAACCTGGGTCGACTGTGTGCAAGGCAAGTGCCCTACACGCTATACTATCACTCTGGACCCGGGTCTGCTCTGGATTGGTGCTGGGTGTCAGGGATAAAACTGAGGTCTTCTGAATGCAGAACTTCTGCTTAAACTTTTGAGCTATTTCTCTTTCCTCAATGTGAGAAATGTGAAAAACTTCCCCCTAGAGAATTAATGTGCAAATCTGTATCACTAATCAGTGCTGTGAAGGCCAAGACAGTTGTGACAATAAGTACCTGGTTGTGGAGGGGCAAAAAAGAATGAGTGGGGCGTGCGTGATAGGAAGCAAGAAAAGCTTCATAAGGAAGGTATTTAGCCAGGATGTAGAAAAATAAAGAGCAGACACTGTACAGAGAGGTAAAGGGAAGAGAACAGAGTATTAAAAAAAAGGTGTAGAGGTTGGGATAAAGGAAAGTACAGGGACTAAGGCCTTGTATAACTCTGGTTTGATCCCTAGCAGGTCCTACACATAGTCTTTCCCCTCCCCTCCAGCCCCCATGAACAAAAAAATACGGAGGTGTGAGTTTAGTACATTTGGGGGAACATTTAGTAACTAATGTGGCTGTGGTAGAGGCTGTGGTGGAGGCCCAGTGGCGGCACAGTGCAGGGCGTGGTGAACGATGAAGCAAGAGAAACCCAGAGATGTCCTCTAACCGGCTCACCTACCACCTGCTTTCCTGCAGGCTCTGCACTTTCACATCATTCTGATGGTCCTCTCCCTCCCTCCCTCTTCCCTTTCCCTTCCCGTCCACCCACCCCCACCCCCCTTCCTTACCTGCTTTTACCTGGCTCTCAGTTTGAATTTTTTTGGGGGGGAGGCACACCTGGAGGAGCTCAGGGCTTACTCCTGGCTCTGCACTCAGGGACCACTCCTGGAAATGCTCAGGGGACCATTTGGGGTGCTGGGATCAAACCCAGGTCAGCTGTGTGCAAGGCACGCATCTTACCGACTGTACTAATCTACTAATCTCTCTAGGCTCCTCAGGTTGCTTTTTTTTTTTCTTTTTGGGTGATGCACAGGGGTTACTCCTGGCTCATGTACTCAGCAATTACCCCTGGCAGTGCCCGGGGGACCATATGGGATGGTGGGAATCGAACCCGGGTTGGCCACGTGCAAGGCAAACACCCTACTTGCCGTGCTATCGTTCCAGCCCCTCAGGCTGAATTCTTGATTTTGACTCTTTGCAGAATATAACCAAGGACTTTCCATTTCCTTACCCGTATTCAGCCTAACCAGGTCACTGCCTGTGTACTCAGACTCCTGCTGGACATATTTCTGGCTTGAATCCTGTCATTTCTGTGGCCAGTTAGGGTAGACATGGCCTAGAAAGCTGTGGAATGTGTCTCCAGAGATTCTGACATTTTAAGTAGGAAATTGAGAGACTTAGGTGGTATTTTCATTTCTTTTTCTAGTTTACACAGACATGACTTTGTAAGACATGACTTTGTAAGAAAAATGAGGATGTGGAAAAGTGAGTCACCAGCTATATAACTGGAACTATACAGAGAATTTGGGTATTTAAATGATGTTTTCCTGGCAATGGGTAACTACATCTCATAAATGGTTGGAAAATTTAATTTATTTATATATTTTTATTTCATTTACATTCCACAAAACAGTAATGCAGGCTTAGAAAACAAAATGCAACAACTGTCTTTCTTTCTGTCTGTCTCACATACACACAACACACACACACACACACACACACACACTGATTAAGGGAATTGGGAAGAATTGGAGAGATAATACAGTGGGAAACACACTTGCCTTCCACATGGCTGATCTGGGTTCAATCTCCGGCACCACATAAGCACTGTCCCTTAAGCACTGTCAGGGGTCACTCTTGAGCACAGAACTCTGAGCACCACCAGCAGTGATCTCTGAGTGCAGATCCAGGAGCAAATTCTAACCACTACCGGGTGTGGCCCCAAAACAAAACACTTTTTCTTATTTTTGTTTTTGTTTTTTGGGTCATACCTGGATAGCTAAAGGCTAACTCCTGGCTCTGCACTCAGGAATTGCTCCTGGAAGTGCTCAGGTAACCACAGGGGATGTTGAGAATCGAGAATCGAGGTTAGAATCTGGGTTCCTGTGTGTAAGGCAAATGCCCTGCCCACTGTACTACTCCTCCAGCCCACCAGTCACCCTACCTTTGTTAAAAGGTAGTACCACAGCTTTTCTTGATATAAAAACTCCAAAGATGTTTTTATATTATTATTTTACTATCTCCAAAAACTCTGGGGGATAGTGCAGCAGGTAAATAACTTATCTGTCAGGTAGCTGGCCCGGGTTCAATCCCTGGCACCCGGTATGGTCCCTCAAGCGCCATTAGGGATAATTTCCTGAGTGCCGTGCCAAGAGTAACCCGAGTATTGCCAGTGTGGCCCCCCACCACTTCCCCACCCCTGAAAAAAAATATATATCTCATTAATTCAGCACCAAAGGGTGGAGGTGGGAGGCTAGGTAGGAATTTTCTGGTATTGATGAGAACAAACATTGGGTATGGGAAAGAAAGGAGAGTCACAATTGTCCTTTGATGAAAAGAAAGTTGAAATGCCACAGTGATGAGGGGGTTGTAAAGGGTGA